TTATTTTCTTTTTTCCTGCAACCCAAACACCAAATCAGCCAAAATACTACCCATCTAAGTAGTTTTTATATTTATTATTTGTTTTTTCACTTTAAAATGCGAGCAGTTTTGGCCGTTTAAAGAGGTAAGGCACACACACAGCAACAGCTCTCGTCTCGTCCTATCCTTTTCTGTCATTCCGTGCGGTTTCTCTCTCTCTCTCTCTCTCGTCCAAACACTGTCTGAAAGAGGGGTGCACTTTAGCTAAGCTCCTTGACACGTCAAAGTAATGACGGTGCACGTTAGTACACCCGGCGCATTTTCATTAGCTTACATATTTTTAAAAGGGCCATAATCGGTAAGTTGGCCGGGAGGAGATTTTCTGTGACTACTGTCGGAAGTGGTTCCCCACAAAAAGGCCGTTTACATATAAATTTTAAAAGTTTATGCCTTTACAAAAACTCCCAAAAAGAAACTATTTTTCTTTTCATAGAAGTACAATAAACAGTTCCATTTTAAACTGGATTTTTACTTCATCTTCTTACAGTGTTGAGAGTAAAGATAGAGTTCTTGTTTGTGTGTGTCTGTGTGTGTTTGTGTGTTATTATATAGAAACAAAACCCAAAGGCCAAAAGTTTAAAAGAAGCTTCTTTTTCTTTGCTTCATGATCAAACCTCCAATCTTTCTCTCAGTTTCAATCTAAAAGAAACAAAAGCACTTTTTTTTTTTCATTTTGTTTTTGTTTTGTGGTTGAGCTCTGCTTTTACTTCTTGATGTTCTCTTTTTGATGTCTAAGCCAATAGAGCACGATTACATAGGCTTGTCAGAGCAGCAGCTTCCTTCAATGGAGAAAAGCTCTGATGCTAATAATAAAAAGAATGGTTTACACTTAAAAGCTACTGAGTTGAGACTCGGGTTACCTGGCTCCGAGTCACCAGAGAGGGAGGATCATGACCATAACGTGCTTCCACTGAAGAGTTTTGTGTCAGGGGCGAAAAGGGGTTTCTCTGATACTCTCAACGGTGGCGGGAAATGGGTTTTTGGTGGTGGGAGTGGAGGTGGATCTGAAGGCTTGTTTTCTCCTAGAAGTGGCGGTAGTAATGGAGGAAACGGTCTTCCCGGGTCGGATTCGGGTGTGGGCGGTCCTGTTTTGAAGGATGAAGCAGCTCAGAAGCCCGTGGTGGGTCAGGAGAAGAAGCCTCAGGATGCTGGTGGTAGTGGTCATGGGAATGGGAATATTGCTCCTGTTTCGAAGTAAACTCATTGCTTTACTTCCTTTTATTTATTATTTATTTTTAATTCTGAGAGGAGAAAATAATCTCTCCTTTGGTAATTGGTACAATGAGAAAATAACTTCTGTTGACCTTTTTTCTTTTCTCCCCTTAATTTATTTCTTTTTAGTTTTTTAGTGGCTGGTTTATTGATTTTGATGGGCTTTTCTTTATACCTCTTTTTGTTCGTTAGAGCAGGTATTAGGAAAGATGAAAAATGTGATTAGTGGTATGATTCTCCTTATTTTGGTTTCTATGAGGGGAAATATTAAAATTATTTTACAAGAAAAATAAAATGCTAGTAACAACATTGACTGGGGTGAGCAGTGGAGTAAGGCTAAGAAGAACATGTGAATTATGTGTGAAGAATTTGTTCTTTCAGGATCTACATGCTTTACCTAGTTTTGAAACTTTTGATCTGTCTGACAATTAAATCGTATTTTAACTATTAACAATTGTTATAAGGTTGATCTGATATTGGGGATTTTTCATTTTTCTTCTCTATGAAAAATTGAGTTGCTTCATTAATTCTTTTGCATTTATCACTTATTATTTGCTTGCAAATTGAACTTCTTTGTTTTACCTGCTGCTTATATTTTTATTGTATTAACTTGTCTGCTATGTAGTTATTAAAACAAGAAGATATAAGTTACGGCCTTGCTATTTTGGTATCATAATTGCAAATTATTCTCAATATAAGAAATTTGATCCCTTATCTTTCTATTCATATTTAGCAGGGCACAAGTGGTTGGATGGCCACCAATTCGCTCGTTCCGGAAGAATACAATGGCTTCTCATCCTCCAAAGAATGATGATGATGCAGAAGCCAAGTTGGGATCAGGATGTCTGTATGTCAAAGTTAGTATGGATGGTGCTCCATATCTGAGGAAAGTTGATCTCAAATTCTACGGCAGTTATAAAGAACTCTCCTCAGCACTTGAAAAGATGTTTAGCTGCTTCACAATTGGTAAATTTTTTTTTCTGAACTTATCCTGTGTGCTTTTTTAACGCTTTTAAATGTCAATCTCTATATTCATTACTCAGGCTATGCACAAGTACAAACATGCCAGTGCCTCACTCAGGCACACTCAAAATCACAGACTAAAACTGTTTGGTTGCCAACTTGCCATAATCCTGTCAATTGTTTTGATGATTGGAAATGGTTTTCACAAAGAAACACATCAGGGAAATTTTCTATATGAATATAAAGCAAAAACCCTCTCTTTGTCTTCTTCACCCATTCTCTTGCTTGTTTCTTTTCATTTGGTGAGAAGAGAGGAGAAAGGTGAGAGGGTGGACGAAGGACAAAGGTGGAATGTTAAATGTATCTTGTTAGAATTGTAGGGTATGGTTGGACGACTCATGCTATCTAAATCAGGAAATTGTGTCTTACAGAATGGACATGTGATGATAAATAAAAAATGATATCAACAGAGGTTCTTTGATTCTAAAAGTGAAAGTGCTCTTTTAACCATGATGGAAAGAACTGTTGGTCATGTGATGTTAGCTTAGGTTAAAACTTCTCTGGCATCACCATGGCAGCAAATTTGAGTTTTTCTTTTAGCTTTTTATTTATTTAAAATTGTTTTCAAATAACCAGTTTGTCTTAGTTGTGTGAAAACCAACATGCATGTCGAAAGGATCTGCATGTGATATAATGATGATTAAATTGGAGAGGCATTTGCAAATCTGCAGGAATGCCCCTGTCTGAAAGGGTTTAATTTATGGTTTCTAATTGACTGGTTCAGGTCAGTGTGGTTCTCATGGAGTTCCTAGCCGAGATGGGTTGAGTGAGAGTCGATTAATTGATCTTCTGCATGGGTCTGAGTATGTACTCACATATGAAGATAAAGATGGTGACTGGATGCTCGTGGGTGATGTTCCCTGGGAGTAAGTTGTTCTGCAACTCAACTATGTAAAGTATCCCATGAACGAAAATTGGTTGGATGTTATGAAAATATATCAAGTTATTCTGAATCTGATTTTTCATGCAAATTTATTAATTGAAAGTTGGAAGTAATTATAGAAACATCTGGAGTTTGTTTTAAACATGCTCCAATCAAATGGTTCTAATTTCATAATTAAAGTTTCCAGAATATAAGAGATGCACAAATAATCCACTAATTTGAGCGTCCTGCTTTGTTGCAGGATGTTTACTGACTCTTGTAAGAGGTTGAGGATCATGAAGAGTTCAGAGGCCATCGGCCTAGGTATGCTATTTTCTGATTTACATTTCCATATGGTTATCAAATTTAATCCAAAATATTCTACTACGTTCTTGTTGAGTTTTGATTGCCTAGTCATGTAATGCAGAATGGCTATCCTTTCTAAGTTTTTAACTTTTTATATCAGCATATGAAATGTTTGTTAGAAAATGTGATGGTGTGAGATATTTTTTATGATACTTGTTGGTTGTAAAAATCCTGTTCAATTGGTTTTTGGTTAACCACATGACGTTGATTAATGGTGGAGGAAGCAATCATTAACACATGTTTCTGCATTATGCAGCCCCAAGGGCTATGGAGAAGTGCAAGAATCGTACCTAGACGATTTGATGCTGCTGTAATTACTGAGGCAAAAGATGGAGGTTGCTAGTCGCTACTATCTGAATGTCAAAGCCTTTTACTGCTATCAAAACTGGGTCATCTGTTTCCTTCTAAGTATGTTTATAAGCATTGAACAAGTTATGTGCTGTATAAGGGCTAAACAAAAATGGCTCCCTGGTAGGCAATATATACTATTTAGACATATCCAGGTTTTTAGGTTTGTTCTCTCCCTCATGTTTCTGTCATGTATTTGATTGTCGTCTCTGCTTAAGGCTACATTGTTTCGTATGTAAATGGTTTGTTGCCTGTCTAATCTCTCTCTCTCTCTCAATCATCCATTACAGACTTGTTCTCGCATTTGGTTGCTGAGAAATTGAAAAAAGGGCAGTGAAAAGTTGGGAAATTCTGCGTTTCATTGGAAATACACACCCAGATAAACTGAACTGTTAACATATAAAACTACCTGGTCTGACAAGTGGTCAATCCTAAAATTGGACCGAGCTATTATCCCATGAAATCAAGATTTGGTTGGCGAGGTAGATAGGGTGGAGGAGGGCATGTAGGAGGAAGGGTTTGTTACATAGATTACGTGATGAAAGGTAATAAATTAGAAAAGGCATGTCGTCAGAGGACGTTAAGAGTTCCTTTCTCACCTCACTTGTTACCTATGAGATTGCGGCTTGGTCATGTTCAAATAATGAAATGCATTTGTCGTTCCTGTATTTTAAATCCTTGAGGTTCTTTTCGAAGAAATTGGTACAAACCCACCAACCATCCCTAAGAAAATATTGAGAAGTGGAGAAGTACCAGCTCCATTTCTTGTCAACTAAGTCTAACATCAAGGAATGGGACTCTGGAATCTGCATGAACTGAATCCACTTACGTACTGGCAACTACTAAATCAATTATTGTACGTTTGTTACTAGCCCATAAAGGGAATACTATCAAGACGCAAAACTACTCTATCGGCTATGGCGTTGCGCAAGCCTCTTTCCAGAACAGAGCTAAAATGTAAGCACAAAATCAACTATTCCTTCACCTTTCAACAACTACAGGATCAAAGCCCCCTATTTGGCAATTGCCAAGAGGTGGAAATATTTTCGTGTTACATAAAACAATTTTACAGAATGTCAAGGAACATAAACATTTAGCGAAACAGAATTGTCATTTGGTTTTGAGATGAAACAAGAATAGAATACACAGCAATTGGAACGCAAAGAAATTAGCTAAATGGGATTACACAAACATTACAAGTAGGTTTGAGAGCATCACAGTTGCCTTCATCCCCTAACTACAATCCATTAGGTTTTGAGAGCACTGGCCAATTTGATAGAATTATAGAGTTGTGCTTTCAATTAAACCCCTGTATCCACGTCTAAATAAAGTCGGTACATGATCATGTAACAACTGAGCAAAAAAAAGAACTCATGTAACAGGAAACATGCTTAGACAACATATCGGTAGGTGACATAACGACCAGCAGTCTCACTGGGCCGAATTATCTTCACAACTTGTCCACGCTTCAGCCCATAGTATCTTGCAATTGGATCGCTCACCTGAATACGGGGCAGCTGCATTCAATCCATTCCAAAAACACAAGGATCAGAGACTGGTATGACTTATAAGAGAGAAAATAAATGCATTCAAAAAAAATGAAACCAGATCAATGACACCAGATCATTAAACAAAAGACACCAGAAAAACACATCCATCGTAAAACATAAAAGCCAGCCATCGAAAGGCATTTGCTATGAACCAGTATCTAAAGAATTGCATTGTCCTTATACACACTTCTTTTAGCTACTGAGAATACATGCAAACAAATTAAACATTCCTACTAGGGCAACTCATGTTCCAATTTGAAGTTGCAGTGATTCTACAAAACAAGATTCATGTATCTGTGGTTCTATACCCAGTTAACCAATTAGCTCCGAGAACATATTATATGAAGTATAACCCTGAAGAACAACTAATATCATACACCAATAAAGATTTGTGCAAATCACTTTAAAATACTTGAATCTACCAACATACAGTAATTAAGATCAGATAAAACTGACCTGTGTTTCCTTCACAGTATATCTTTGCAGCAGAGTCTTTTTCTCCTCATTAGTAAGAACCTGATGCTCAGGAACAAGAGAATGTTCTTTTACATTGACTAGGAGCTCTGATTCCTGCACCAATGAAGAAAAAAAGGCAAGCCTTCACTATAAGATTTAATTACATATGATTGAAATAAAGTCCTCAAATAAGAAAAGTAGAATAACTTAATCAAAATGAGTTCAAAAAACATCCTTCAACCATCAATGCTTCACTATAAATTGCTATAATGGGATGGAAAAATATACTGATGTTAGAGCAAAATTTCTAAAAAAATTTGTGTTCATCAGATGAGCATGGTCGTTCAGTCTAACCATCACACCAACCTGCAGTATATTGTTTGGCTATCATCTCGATGAGCTCAGAGAAAGTACAGTTAATTAGATAAGTCATTGCCTTAAAGCATTTCATTATAGAACATATGCCAAGCATCCCATCAAGATTTATTAATACAGTCCTTGATTAAGAAAATGATCAACAAACATGATGATGACATAACTGGAATCAGAACATCGTATAAGCAAATAAATTTGACCTGGAAAACCTCCAAGTGGAATTTTGAAGAAATTTCATTAATACATGTCCGAGCAAAGGGAGTTAAATTCTGTTGCACAACCAGTACAGCCCTGAATACATTCTCTGATTTCATGCGGTTAGTATACGTCTTCATTGTCTTGACCCCAACCTTTGCTTCATCAGGGAAAAAAACATATATCTAGTCCACAAAAAACAATAACCCGTAAATCAATGAGGCAACACACAAAAATAACTGCAGATCCAAACAACATAAGCAATAACAAGTAATTAAACATATGACACGGCCATATTATTATACATTCAAAAGCAATTGAAAAATGTCTTGAACTAATTGCTAAGATGAGTTGAAAGTTGAGATATATTTAGGGGATACCTGATCAGAGTTGTCGTTTCGCTTAGTTTTATTGATAACCAGATCCTCCCTTTTCATGTTTTCGCCATATTTGGAAATAAATTGAGCTTTTGTCATGGTAATCTCAAAGTCTCCCACGAAATAACCCCTATCTTTCAACATCTGCATTACCGTCTTTCGGATTCGAAACAACCTCTTGATTTCATCATCCGATAAAACCATTTTTGCTATCCTTTTTCCTGATTAAATTTTCAAACATTGAATAATATTTAATATTTAGTAATAAAAGAGTGAAATAACTCAATAATAATATTGTTTACATTAATCAACGAGTTTAATCAAAATAAACTTAGCGGAAAACATAACCCTAAAACTTGAAAGGGCGCGTGAAAAAGACAATAGAAGAAATTGGCTTCGAAATAACCCTAGAAAAGAGAATTACCAGCTAGAGAAGGCGAGTTATACCAAGCAAAACGAATAGCAGAAACTCTATGAAGAAACTTCTCTGAGTCTTCTCCGAATGCTAATGTAAAGAGGAAGTGAGTTTCGCTCCCTCTTTTTCGTTTGATTAAAAAAGGCGGTTAAGAGATGAGGCGTTCCCTTGCGGACCGAGTTACTGACTCGGTCGTGTTTCTGAACTCAGCGTTTGTTTTTTCTTCCCTTCTCACACACTATGATTTTATTTATTTAATTATTTTAATTTATTGGAAGGTTCTGCGCTTTTGGATATTGTTGTTTAATTAAGTAATTGTATTCTATAATAACTTTAATTAGATATTTTGTGTAATTATTTTAACCAATATAATCTTATATGTCTTAAATTTTTTATTTTTCTCCAATTATTTTGGACTATTATTTTCAAGGTATAGAAAAAACTAGTTGTACTGTAACGTTTTTATTTAATAAACAGAATATAACATTTGAAATGTGATTTAGGAAAAAAAAGGAGAAATATAATTAAGATAATTAAATGCGGACATAATACCTAAAAAGAGTTAATGAAATATTTAACAAATTTAAGTGAGTTTTTATTTTTTTATTATATTTAATCAAACTTTTATTTTTTATTATGCTTAATCAAATTTTTTTATTTTTATTTTTATTTTAAGTTAAATAAATCCTTACAACTAGCTTTTTTTAATTATTTTTAGTCAAAATATCACTTATTATTTTTTATGTTATATAACACTAATATGGTATAATAACATGTTATTATATATAGTAACATGACATATTTATATTGTAAGATAACATGATTACGTGATATTTCATATTTTTTGGTAGCATCAATAGATGTAAAAATAACAAATGATATTTTGATTAATAACAGTTAATCAACCATTAACTATAAGAGTTTATTTAATTAAAAATAAAATAATTAAATTTAATTGAATATAATAGAAATTAAGTATTTAGCTACATTTTCTTAACTAATTTAAAAAATTTTTAAAATATTAATGGCATATTTGGTACAAGGAATTGCTAAGTCATTCCTCTCTTATTTCTTTCACTTTTTTATTTTTTAGTTTGGTGAATTTGTGAACTTGGGAAAAATTTCTATTCCTCAAAATCTTGGTTTAACCATTTCTCACTTCCTCATGGTATTAACTATTCTATGATTACGGAATAAAGTCAAAATTTTATTAGACAAAAATATCCCTATTTATTAAAAATAATTATAACCAGACAAATAGAAAATGAAAATAAAGAAAAAATAAAATAAAAAATTATATTAATAATTTAATAATAAATTATTAATATTTAAATTTTTAATGAAATAGAAATGAAAAGATTAAAAAATACAAATACAAATAAAAATTTTTATTGATAATTTAATAATAAATTAATTAATCTTTAAATTTTTTAATAAAAATACATATTAAAAAAGAAAACATATTATTAAATTATAGTAATGAGTAATTTTGCCTAGTTTAATTAATTATAATAAAGAGTATTTTTATTGTGATGAAAATAAACATTATTATAATAAAAGTGGTTTTGTCATTTTATTATTTATTCCTTAGTTATTTCAAAACTATTATTACTAACCAAATATTAGAATGAGTTAAAATAACAATTATTACTTTATTACATTTTGTAAACCATATTACATAATAATCATTCTACTCTATTCATTCATTATTTTATTCTCACATAATAACTCTTCTATTCTATTACATTTTGCAAACCAAATGTGTCGTAAGATTTAAAATTAAAAGATACCATGTATTTTGTCAAAATGATAGATTTAATCTTTATATAATAATTTGTAAAAATTGAGTCTTTTCACTTTTCAAATTTAATAATGTCAATACAATCGTTAATCGTGTTAAATTTTTTTATTATCTATGTTGACATGACGTTTAATTGTGTTAATATAATATTTTTTATTAATGTGACATTAAATTTAATGACATAATAATAATGTTGACATGACAAGATAAAACATTAATGTAAATTTTATAAGTGTTGATGTTGGATTCAGTGGCAGAGAAAATGGATAGAGGTGAGCAATGAGGTGATTTGGTCCTTCATATCTAAGAATTAAATAGATCAAATATTTTTAAAAAAATGGACTAGAACTGATCAAATATTAAAAAGAACCAAACCGATCAAATATCAAATTAATTTGTTGGTTCGATTTTAGACCAATTAATCAAAATTTTATTACTTTTTTTTACAAATTAAAATATTAAAACTTATAAACTTCGTCCTTGATTATAAAACATATAAATAACTTAAACATTAAAAAATAATATTTACTCATTCACTTATATAATTATGTATTTTTAGATAAACTATTAAATTAATATTTAAGATTATTTATAAAAAAATTAATATTTAACATAATAAATAGTTAAAAATAATAAAATTAATATTTACAAAATAAAACTAGGCTTAGGTTTTGAAGAAGGAAAGAGTAAATATTAAAAAAAAGAGTAAAGGAGAGTAAGAAATAAAAAGAAAAGATGGACGGGTGGCTAAAGATGACGGAGTGGACGAAAGGATAGGATGTGGGGCGCGTGGTACAAGCTCAACGGGCAGTCATAGTAACTCAGTAATTAAAAACTAAAAATATTAAATATATTATATTTTATATAAATTTAAAAATAATATATAATGCTATATATATGAATATTATATATTAGTTTGATTTTTTGATTAATTCAGTTTAAAAATTTTAAAATCGATAACCGATTAAATATACTGAATTGATCAAACATTTTAGACTAATTTAATTAAATTGTTTTACCCAAATCACATTTAGTTGAGATAGGTATTAGTTCGGTCCAATTTTGCATATAAGAAACGAGGGATTAGTAGGGTTATTGTCTCTTAAAAATTTAAAAATTTTATAATACATATCTTTATTTTTAAAAATTTTATAATTTTATCTTTATAATAATTTTTTTATTTAGTGAGATATCCTATAATAATTAGTCAATAACTAATTTTAATAGACTCAAGGACTAGAGTAACATAATAGAATTATTTCTCACGCTCCACTGCCCCAGGAACCCATGATCGACCCTCTCTTGTTTACTCCTCCAAAAGTGAAATTTTAATTTCATTACTGGTTGGATTGTTCAATGTGAGGTTGCCATGTGAAATATATTATTGCTAATGGAAAAAAGGTCACAATTTGAATTTCTAAACATAAAATTCTTATTTGGATTTTTGATTCAATGAGATGAGTTACTATTTTAATAAATTTTTATTTGATAGTAATAAATTTCATATGACAACTTCAAATTAAATAATTCCACATCAATACTTATAAAATCTATTTTTATATTTAATCACGCCATATTAACACTATTTTTACGTCATTATTTAGAGTAGGATGCAAATTTTTTAATACCAAACTATTAAGTGCCTGCCTGGTGTAGTTTATTTTTAATTTATTTATTTTTTAAAAGTAAAAATTGAGTCAAACAGTATTTTGTTTGAAGTTATTGAAAAATATAATTTTTTAAAAAAATAGCTTAAAAAAATTCAAAGCTTTCTTTAAAAAAAAAAAACTTAAAAGAGTTATTTTTTTTAAAAAAAATACGTCTTCTTTTCTCTATTTATCGATCTCCCTCTTTTCTTCCCTTTCTACAAATCATCATTCTAAAGTTTTTTTTTATTGTTAGAAAATTAAGGGAAAAGAAACTTCAAAATTCAAAACTTATTATTTTTTTCTTTCTGCTTTATTTTTTATTTTATTTTTTACCTTTTTTTTTACTTTGAAAACTCTTTTTATTGTTTGATATTTTTCAGTTTATTGTTTAATATGGTAATTATGTAATGTTTATTTATTCTTAACTTCGTATATAATATTTGTTGATTATGATTGAAATTATTAGCTAAATAGGTCTATGATTATCGAGATAAATTAAATAAAAATTAAAAAATTAATATTTATACTCGTTTGTGGTAACTCAGTTTTAAAATTTTTTTTCTTTTAGGTATATCAATATGCTGCACTATAAGAAAATTAAAATAAACTTTAATTCTTTTTACAACGGGAATTGCAAAATTCCTAACTTCTTAGTAGTGTATTCCATATTTGAGCTAATAGTACTTAACAAATGATGTAGCCCTCTTTGACAAAAATAAATAACCTATTAAAAAATGAGAAAAAAATATAAAAGCCAAAACCTTTTTATTCATGGAGGAAAACTTTATTGGTGAGGACATTAAGATCTTGATAGATTTGTATTTGTATAGAATTAGCTTGATGATTTCAATAGAAAAACAGGTTGCTAAAGTAATAGGTGATTTTTCTGACCCACTTGGATTCATTATTAATACCACATTGGTTCTCTTCCTTATATGTAACATCAATTTTGTTTAGCTAGTCATCAATTTCAAATCAATTTTTAAAAAATAACAATAAATATTTTTTTCATATTCATCTTTTTTTATTTGATTTAATTTTTTTACTTGATTTATTAAATACCCATTATAGTAATTTTAATCAAAATTAAAATTTATATAAATTATTTTATCAAATAATTTATCTACATAAAAGAGTTTATAAAAAGTAAATTTATTAACTAGGTTTAACTTAATTTTAAAAATTATTTTTTATAAGAGTTTTATAATAACTTTTAAGTTTAAAAAAAAGTTAAGCTAAACATGGTCTAAGACTTATTGCATAAATGCAAATGTAAGAAATGAAGCAATAATGCGATTTTACTTCAACAGATGAAAGGGATTCGATTTAAAGAAAAAGAAAGTAATCTTACACGTAGACATAATTAGTAGTATTTTATTTATTAATTACACAATGAGAAAGATTTTGAACCAAAAAGTTAGAAAAAGAAAAAAGAGAAAAAGGCTAAAAACTTATAAAAAGACAAAAGCTAAATTTCCCATGCATGATGCATAAAAAAAAAGAAAAAGGAAAAAAGAAAATACAATTTGTAAGCTTTTTGTATTAATTAAAATTAAAAATAACCTCTGAAAACCCATTGTTGTAATTTCAAAGCCTGGAATTCTAGTATATTCCACATATTCACAAAAGCTCTGAAAAAAAATAACTAGGGCTAATTAAAAGAAAGAAGAAGCAGCAGCTGAATCTTCTATTCTTCTTGTCTGTGCTTTTGTTAAAAGGATTCCCAAAGAAAAACCATGAAGCTGAAACAACTGGAAAGCCTCTTAGGCGGTCTTCAACAGTTCTCAAACCCCAAGGTCTTCGCATCTCTGTCTGTTTCTCTCCCTTATCCCCAAATAAGAAAGAACATAATTTGTTAAAATGACAGTAATTATTGAATCAGTTCGTGGTGGGATATCTGTTTTCTAGTGCAGGTGGAGCTGGAACAGTACCCTACTGGACCTCACATCGCCTCTGGCTTGCTCTACACTGTACCGATCCTTTGATGCTTCATTTTTCTTAACCTTCTTTCATTTCCCATGTAAATGACTAATTGGGTAAGCTTTTCTTTTTCGTTTTTTAATTTTTTAGGCTGAGAATTCATTTGATGATATTAGCAACAAAGTTGTGGCTGATTTTGGTTGTGGATGTGGCACTCTAGGTGCTGCTGCTGCTCTATTGGGTGCCGAGTAAGTTTACCTTGGACCCCGCTCTTCTCCTTTCTCTTTCTCATTCATTCTTCTCTTGTACTTGTAGATTCCTTAACTTGAGCTGAATTTGAATATCTAAAAGAATTTATGTTTTTAAATGGGAGAGAGAAAAAAGCTCTGTGTTTGCTTCCATGTCTTTTGTTTTTATGTGGGCGTTCTGTTGCTTGGAATAGGCAGGTTATCGGAATTGATATTGATTCTCAATCTCTTGAAATAGCATCAATGAACGCCGAGGATCTTGAGGTGCTCTCTCTTTATTGATATCGATATATAGTAAGGCCTAGAGCTTTTGCTGGCCTCATTGACATAGTTCTGACTTCTTTTTCTCTCTATCAGTCTGTCTATTCAATGCAGTTTTAATCTATGCTAGTTAATTTGATTATTTGCTTGGTAATTTATACATTTCATGTTGCGTTGCTTTCTTATTTGAACTTGCAGTTGGAAATAGACTTTATTCAGTGTGACATCAGTAACCTAGGATGGAGAGGTAACAATTCCTTCTCCTCTCCTCTCTATATCCCTGTCAGCGGATGCACACACTTGAAGCATAATTGTTCTAATTGGTTTTTACCCCTGGAAATTACCAGTCATTCTGATATGAACATGTTATTCTCTTATGAGATGTAATCAACAGTTAGCTTGCAGGAAATGGTGATTCTCTAGCACATTGAAATATTTGGGTAATAAAGTATACAGGAAGTATATGGCTAATCATTTTCATGCTTAGAATTTGTAGGTACATGGCTGACTGGCTCCACAGTAATTGCACTTCTTTCTTCTTTGATTTTGTTGTATTTGTAGCAGATGTACTAAACATAATCTAGTCATTACTTTGTGGCCGCTATGTTATGAGTATTGAATCAATCAAGAGAAAAAAATAGTAAAAATTATGTTTAAAACAATATGTATGTTAAAGGAATGTTCTACTGCCTGTTTCCCAATTTTAAAATCTTGTGATTTTTATCTTCATCTTATGGTCTCAAGCTGTTATTCAGGTCAAATTGTTGATACCGTTGTGATGAATCCTCCATTTGGAACTCGAAAGAAGGGTGCTGACATGGATTTTCTATTTGTAGCATTGAAGGTAAAACTACTGACAAAGTCGAAGATGTTTCAAATCCATTTTTTTTCAGCTTATTTGATCTAATAAGCATATTTGTCCATATCTTGTATGTTCCAGGTTGCTTCTCAAGCAGTTTATTCATTGCATAAGACCTCAACAAGAGATGTAAGTCCTTCGCTTTGCATTTTCTAGTAGTTGAATGGAAATCTATTTTAATTACTTGCTCTGCCCATAATTTATTTTGTGTACATGATGGATTTAAAACTAAAGTAGCGAATTAACTAGTCATTGATTAACATTTGGTCTACTGTGTTTCATGTTTTAGTTAGCATAGGTATTTTGGTAGTCAATAGTTCCCTCCAATTTAAAGAGTGCAATGTAATTGTCTTATTGTTGTGAAAGCGATTATTTTCTCTTAATTTTCTTCACTGTAAAATCACTTATGTTTATACTATCAAAACAGTCCTGCATTTTCATTTGCCCAAATTTGCTTGCTAATTAGCAACATTATTTCATCTTTTGTTGCCAATGTAATTTCTCATTGATTGTCCCATGTAGTCTGTTTCTTCCATGCAAAACATTAGCTGCTTGTGCTGTTTGCATAAGGATTTTACTGTGACTAAAAGTTGAGATAATTTTCTTTCCTCACTGTAGCATGTGAAAAGAGCGGCCTTGAGGGACTTAAATGCTAGCAGCGCTGAGGTCTTGTGTGAGGTGGGTAAAACAAGCTTCACAATCTGATGATATGTCTTTTATGACCATAAACAAATGTTGCCATTATGCATTATCGTTCACAGGTGAGATTAATCTGATGGTTTGCTGAGTAAGCTGTAAGCATGATCTGGGCTTAGGCATACATTCTACTGTTTGTTGCTTGCATTGCACTCTTTGAAATTGCTTTTACTCTAATTTTTATTAAAATATTTGCTTCCTATTTTCTCTCTTCCCCACCCCATTTTATGACCAGCTCCGTTTTGATGTTCCTCAACTATACAAGTTTCACAAGAAAAAAGAGGTGGATATTGCTGTGGACCTCTGGCGATTTGTACCCAAAAGGAGTAGGGGAAAAGACATTTAACTGCCTAAATGCTCATCAAGACCATGCTTGAAGTATATCTCACATTGAACGAACAAAAAGGATGGTCCTTTTAACTCCCCTTGATTTTAGTACTGGAGGTGTCAGGTGTGGTTCTGTAGGAGAAGCAGATTCAGGAATGTGACTTCATGTAATAGTTGATGAGAAATCAAGAAAGTCCTATGGCTCCTTATGTGTTTGCCTCGCTATCTTAATTTGAGACACTTCGTAAAATCTCTATATATCAATTTTGCAGTCTCATCTGGATTAGAGAAACGAGCTTAGAGCTGTGATTTTCAATTAAAATCTCTCTTATCCTAAACGTTGGACATATCCCTGTGAATGAGCTGAGGAAAATTGAGTATATGTAACAGCTAAATATTAGGTAATGTTTAGTACTAGTGAAGTGGAAGTACATTATTTGTAATATGTTTAATTAATTTATATTATAGTATTTGTTTTGTAACAGCTCATTGCAATGTAAGATTACAATGCAATTACATTACAATTAAGAAATTTAATGTTATTGCAGTTTAAAATCATTACAATGATATTACATTGTCTTCTATAATATTTTTAAAAATATTTTTACTTTTCAATTTTAGTATTTTGTTAAAAATATTTTGTAATGTTATAATTAAAATAAAAAATATAATATAAGAATTAAAAAAATAAAATATAATAAAATATAAAAAATTAAAATTTATATATTATAAGTAAAAGAAATTAAAATAAAATATATAATAAAAATTATATTAAAAAATAAAAATATAAAATATAAAATTATAAGAAAAATAAAAAATATGATATTAAAAATATATTTAAAAAATAATATTATATAAAAATTAATCATAAAAAAATAAATATATTAAATTTATATTTTAATAAATAAAAATTATTTTAAAAATTAATATTACATTCTCAATAAAAATTTTATAAATTAAACACTATAATATTATTTTTTTATATTTTAATTATTATTTTACTTATATACTAAACAATGTAATATTATTTTTTTTACAATCACATTTGATACAATCACATCATTTACAATTACATTATATTATATAATTATATTATATTATAAAATATTAAATACGACTAAAAATATTTTTAATTGGGGCAGAAATTATCGAAAGGCGGCATATTCGGAGATAGCAGCGGGCACCCTCAACCTGGCCCTCAATAGCCTGCAGGGTAAAGGTCTTTGTACCCGGACCTGTCACTCTGCTCTTGCAAGTACGAAACCAACTTCTGATTTAATTTAATAATTCCTCACATGTTTCAGTATTTCCATTTTTGCAAAACAATTGGAAAGATACTAATCTCATCTTACAAAATCAGAAGTAGCTTTGAATACAATGACGCTCACTACATTGAAAACTTGCTTAATCACATCAAAAAAGAATCACATTACTCTCTCCTCCAAAAATTAGTTCCTACCACCAACCAGATCTCTCAGTTGCCTCCATTGTTTCCCATTGGTATCATTGGGAGTTCCTTCTTAAAGCAACATCCTCCTGTCTCATTCTTCAGTTCCTGTTTTAGTATCTTCAACTCTCTCCAAGAGTAAATCGAACAAACCTTCGGACTTTTATGTTCTCTCCAATTGCTGCAACAGTTTGCTTTACCAAGTCTTTAACCAGCACACTGTCATCCTTAATGAACGGCTGTTCCAAAAGGGCAAGCTCTCCAAGCCTCTTTGAGACCCTCCCTTCGACAATTTTCTCTCTAATGTTCTCTGGTTTTGATGCAAGATCTTCTCTTTGCATCTCAAGGTCTTTTTCTTTACTCACAACACTCTCTGGAACTTCTTCAATGGATACAAACTGCACCTGTGGACAGGCAACGACTTGCATTGCTAGGTCATCAACCAGCTCTTTGAATTTTTCGCTTCTACCAACAAAGTCGGTCTCACAGTTGACTTCAATTAGTACACCAATGCGAGAGTCGTGAATGTAGGAACCAATTCTGCCTTCAGCAGCAAGCCGGCTGGATTTCTTGTCAGCAGTTGAAAGGCCCTTCTTTCTAAGGTATTCCTGAGCCTTCTCAAGATCGCCTCCAGTTTCAGTCAGAGCTTTCTTGCAGTCCATCATCCCAGCTCCTGTTTCATCACGCAGTTGTTTAACAAGTGCAGCAGAGACTGCTACTGTTGGTCTGCAAAAGAGATATGGGTGAATATAAACCATGCAAGAAATTATTGGAATAAAAACAAGGCCACATTTCTTTTCTACAAGTATTTTTAGCACACATAGTGAAAAGGCAATGCAATAGAACAAATACATACAAAAGGAAAATACTTCAGAAATTTCAAATTATAGACAAAGCATTGACCAGAATGATATTGTAGGGAGTAAGAAACCAGAACCATGGAAAACAGCCACTTACTTCTGATCAACTTCCTTGGCTTCCACTGAACCTGATTGCTCTTTTCCAGCAGTAGATACTGGTTTCGCTGCAGTTTGGGCAGCCACTTCAGCAGCAAAATCCTGGCTTTTCTTCTCCAGGCCCTCTCCAAGATTGAACCTCACAAATCTTTTCACTTTAATATTTTCTCCAATGGTTGCAATAGTCTGCTTCACCCAATCTTTCACCACCACCTTATCATTCTTAATGTAGGGCTGCTCGAGTAAAGCCAAGTCCTCAAGTCTCTTCCTTATCCGACCTTCAACAATCTTTGATCTGATCTGCTCTGGTTTCGATAAGAGATCTTCCTTTTGCATCTCTATTTCTCTTTCCTTGTTTACAATATCCTCAGGAACATCTTCTGGAACAAGATATTGTACTTGAGAGCAGGCAGCGACCTGCATGGCTAGATCGTCAACAAGCTCCTTAAAAATGTCACCTCGGGAGACAAAATCTGTCTCACAGTTAACCTCTACCAGGACACCAATCCTGCTATCATGAATGTAAGAACCTATTCTTCCTTCAGCTGTAACTCGACTGGCTTTTTTTTCTGCACTTGCCAAGCCTTTCTTGCGGAGAAACTCCTGAGCTTTAACAATGTCCCCTCCAGTCTCTGAGAGAGCTTTCTTGCAATCCATCATTCCTGCTCCTGTTTCTTCACGGAGCTGCTTTACAAGAGCTGGTGATATAGTTGCGGCTGTTCATGCATATGAATCAATAAATTGAGGAAGATAAAAATAAATGTCTTAAAAAAATATAAATATTGTATAGAAACACAAGAAGTATCAAGATTGTCTTAATACACACACTCTGCCCATCCAAATTGAATGTCCACAGACAAGAGTTTTAGGAGTCCAAAGATAAAAAAAAGGCAGAGTATCAATATATCCCAAGATGAATAGTGGACATTCAATTTGAGATAGAGGGAGTCTACTATATTGAAAAGCACAGACAAACAATACATATTTGCAGCTTTAAAATTTCCTTGCTAGATTAGAGCTTAATTCAAAATTTTGTAAGATGCCTCTAATAGGTTAGGAGAACTGCCAAAGTGGATAAATTATAAACCTTTAGTCACATTTTCCTTAGGAGCAGAGACATTCGAATCTGTAACCTCGTCACTCTTCTGAGGTGCAGGTTCTGCCTCTTCAACTTGTGAAGTAGAAGGAATTTCAACCTTAGAAACTGGTGTCTCTATCTGCACTTCATCTTTGGTATCCTCAACTTGATTCTCTGGTCCTTCAATCACTTCACTTCCTGAAGACTTAATCTGATCATCAGCAGATTCTTGAGATGGATCAGAAGTTACATTGTTTTCCACTGTATCTGTATGCAAGATCAACAATAAGAAATACATAGACCAAAAACAGAGTGAACAAAAATAACATATCCTTATTTTCTCTAATTCTTTTCACGAAACAACTATTGCTTAGTTAGGGATGAGAATATGGAACTCCATAAATGACACAATAGTCATTCTATTGCATCAAAATTTGTACTTCCCAAACATCTTATAAAAGAAACAGAGAAATGAACTAATGGGGTTGGATATATCTCAAGTAATTCAAGAAAAAAATAGTACATTTATAAAAAGGTTGTGTTTCACTCTATAACTAATTTAATAGAACCTTGAGCTGTATCCTCTTGCAAATTATATCTTGCTAATAAATCATTGCTAACAAAATCCTGCAAAATTGATTTTTAGCTCTTCATTTATTTTGTTTATCAGACAGTGATCCCTTGTATTTGATGCAGAATCATAGATATTGTGTTTCCATTCATCATTTGGTGACGATTTTTGTCACAACATAGCTACCAGTGTTATGGATATCTACCTTCAGGATCCTTGGGAACAAGAACATCGGGTTGTACACCTGTGCTGGAAACACTGCCATTTTCTCCAGGAATAGCTCCAACTTCTTCATCTTGAGCTGATGCAGCAGAAGGACTTTTGCCCTCAGCTAGAGGTGTTTCTACTCGTACTTCATCTTTCGGTGTGGAAATTTCATCAGCTACTGAATTTGCTGAAGTCGTAACTTGATCAACTACTTCTCCAGATGATCCAGCTGTTTCATCATTTTCCAATTCATCTACTGAAGGAGACTCGGCACTACCTTCAGGGGATAAAACTTCAGAAATCTCCTCTGTTTCTTTTTCTGTGGTTTCCTCAGCCTTGTTTACTGTATCTGTTTCCTTTTCAACTATTTCTGTTTCCTTTTCAATTATTTCATTTGCTGCAGTAGAAACAGTGGCCGACTCCTCAGCTGGTTGAACCTTTATTTCCTCTGACTTTTCTCTCCGATCCAAAAATGCAGCAATCTCCTTATTCTCACGGAAAGCTAGCACAAAAGGATTTGTTGCAGTATGAACCACACCTTGGTTGAGCTGTGAGTCCAATTTGTCATCATCCTCTTCTTTCTTCATCGTCAAGGTTACTCGTCCCCTTGAGATGCGTAACACACGTACATTGACTTCTTGGCCAACTTGCAGTGATGAGCCTCCCATCATGCTCATAAGTCCATCATCAGATTCTTCAGATGTCGGCAAGAATCCTTCTTCCCCCTCAGGAAGGGATATAAAAGCACCAGACCTAGTTAAATTCTTCACAGTGCCCTCTAGGTCTTGTCCCTTGACAAATTTTGAACTTTTCACCTCCTCCTTTCTCTGGCTGGGCTTTGAAGCATTCTTCCTAGCAGGCCTTGCCCTATCAGTAGCAGCAGGACCATCTTTTCGTGGCTGGCGTTTACTAGCATCATCATTTTCACGCATAGACAGAGATATCCTCCCACTCTCAGTGTTCACTTCAACTAACCTCACCTTCACCTCTTGTCCAACAGACACAACACTTGCAACATCCTTAACAAAGCTATCACTCAACCGGGAAACATGCACCAACCCATCTGTGAAAGCTCCAAAATCAACAAACGCACCAAATGGTTGGATTGATCTTACTTTCCCAGTAAACATCGCACCAGGAATAAGCTCCTCATTCTTAATAGGTGGCATCTCACTTTTTCTAACAGGTCTTGTTTGTCTGGACTGAGTTGGAGTGGGACCGGAGTCTGATTTGCTGGTTGATTTTTCACTTGTTTCAACAGCATCCGATTGTATTTCTGAGCCTCCACTTGAAACGTCTGTCACAGTAGAATCAGATTCCTCCACTGCTACATCAGTCCCTGTGGCTGATATATGTATTCCAGGTTTTCTATGTAAAGCATACCATGTTCTGTATTGTGGAAACAGTGTAACACAAGTTGAGAGAGGTAGCATAAATCTTTGTGAGGGTAAAGCATATCTTGTATGTTTTCTTGGTAAACTGCATCTTGTTAAACAAGTATTCTTCCTTACTGTACAGGCAGTTCCGGGAATAAGTGTGATGTTGCTAATGGAACAGGGGATTACAGGAGTCATGTTGACTTGAATGGCAAAAGTTAAAATGCTGTCTGCACTAAAATAAGTGTTTCATCTGTTTCTTCACCTGCAAGAACAAGAATGATGTGCTCAAACACATAAATTTCCCCTGAGTTTGAGATAAGGCATAAGATGTCCAAGCACCAGTTGTGCTAAAATCAAGATGCCTAATATCTTCTATAAATAAAGAAAGAATTAGTAATTTAATTCAGCAAGCAGCAATTTCAATCATAAACATGATTCTGGTGATTATATTTTTCATGCAAATCAAAATGTTTCATGTTCAACTAAAGGCTTTGATATGCCAGGCACAATAGGTTCCAAATGTATATTAACTGTTTTGCAGCAAATACATTAGTTTCTGAAAATAAAGACAGGTGTATTTAGCTGATAATTATGTTTTTTAGATATTTCACAAATCATTGAGAGTTCAAATTTTCAATTACCTTTGATTAACAGATTCTCAATTATGCATCTTCTCTGCCTATTTGACCAAAATCATAAGTTTAAAAACACAAGACACGCATATGCAACATTTTTCATCTAACTGTTCTAGCAGCTAGGAAAAATCTCTATCTTCAATTTAAGAAAATAATGTTGACTTTAAAGAGAACGAAATTCAACAACTTTTTGTCTTTAAAGCAGGATTTCAAAGCCAAGAAACAATAACCAAATTATCACACTGTGCATTTGAACATTCTATCAACTAGCAAAAGCCCTTACCTTCAGACCAAAGCACTCATCAAGAGTTAATTCTTATAAAGTGCATTATGGACCAATGAAAAGGCTTAGATAAAAAACTAACCAAACGCTTTCTTAACAGAATAGAAGAGTTCCTTATCAAAATTCAATTCGTTCACAGTTTCTTTTTCTTTTTGGGATAAATGTGTTGTTTTATTCACTTTGTTCACTGTAACAGTAATTGAATTCCACTCAAAAATTAAATCCCAACATTTCCTTTCCAATTCAATAACAAGCATAGCAAATTCATTACCAAAATACTAAACAATTTCAAACTTGACATGACTGCGGCCAAAGAGAACCAAAACAGGAAAAAAAATTAACAACAACCCATCATTAGAAAATCACAGAAAAACAGAAAGCAACTTCAAAACCAAAGACCCATTGGCTTATAATCAACCAAAAATGATACCTTTTTGAGAGCTAAAGCTTTCTGGGAAAAGTTTTCAGAATGAACTAAAAATAGGTATCAGAAACAAACCCAAGGTGTTGTTTGGTGATAGAGCCTATTCATCACAAGTGAAGAAGGAGAAGAGAGGGAAATGAAAGGTGGGGCTTTAAATCCTTATCTTTGGCTTCATTCATGGATAGGAAAAAATAAAAAATACGATGATGATTATGGGCTCGGCTCGGCTCTTGCACAAGTTTCCCTTTTTTTTTTCATTTCTTTTTTCCAGCCTTTAGCTTATGATTGGCCGAAAAGCAAAGCTGGTTAGGATGGACTTGTATTCCAGGGCAGAGGGGCCTATATTTTTCTTAAGGGGCCGAAGATAAAACCCAAACCTGTTTCCTAGATATCGAGTTGGACCTCCATTCCTTAGTTTCTTCTTCTAGAAAGAAAGTTGGACCTTTTACTTCAGTTTCAGGTAGTTTGCTCTTCCCCTGGGCGACTTTAATTCTTTTATCTGATAAAAATGAAAAATTCAAACTTTTCAACTCAATCCCTTGTTTTCCTTTTGATGTTGAATGATGCATAGATATGCATGAGATCAGAATCTCCTTCTTATGAATTTTTTGAAAAGGAAAGAAAATAGTGTCTGGTACAAATAAGAGCAAATGTACCTTAAGATGTAGAAGATGTGAAATGGACTACTGTAAAAGTAGTATTACTCTTATCCACACCAGACACTGTTTCCTTGTCATTTCCTTACAAGTTCACCGTTAAAAGAGAGTGGGATTTTTTCTTTATTAAATTTGTATCAACTTTTCAGGGACAAAGCAACAAGAGAGAGATTGTAATTAGCTTTTGTTTTAAGCATTACGATAGTTGCGGTTGGAAATTGACATGAATCACATCAAAAGCAAGAGCTTCAGTTCATGCGGGAAATTCTTTGGAATCTGTCAGCAGTCTTTTACATGGGAATTCCAATGCCATTTGCTAGCAATTGTGCCACAACAAGTATGACACATGAAGCTTACCAAAGTGTTGAATTCTCCTACAATTTCTTATGGATATTGGAAACCGTATACATCATTTTTCTTCAAATTGTCAGATTCATGCATTGCTACTGAACTGATGTAGTATAAAATCAATCCCTTTGTTCTGGATTCCTTGTAGATTTGCAATGAATCTGCCTCATTGATATCATGTCAGGCCAATCCTCTTAAAAGATGTGGCTTAGCTTACATAAACTGATAAACAAGCTCTTTTAAACATTTTTCCACATCTTCGACTTTTTTGAACAGTGAATCACAGTGATCTTGTTGGGCTGGAAATATTAAAAAAGAGAGTGATGCTGTCACTTTCTTGACTTATTATTATGTGAAGGATCAAAACCTTTTTGTTACCTAACACATTGATAATGGTAAAGAGCAGCAAATGTGAACTCATAAAATAAATAGTATATTTGCCCACATGCATGCATGCAGGCTAGCTATGCCTATTTGTACCTTGAAAACAAGTGTTGGGCAGCAGAAACCAAATTCCGCAGATTCATCACGAAAGTATAATAAACTAATAATGCAAGCATGGGCAGAAACCATAAACAATACTTCACCCCTGGAGGAGGATGACCTCATACCTTGCATAACACTGCAATTACATGATAAATTTTCAGGTTTGTCGAACAAGGAAAGTTCATAGGGGCTGATTCTCCTTTATTCCCAATGCTAAAAAAAGCAGAGTTTTATAATCCTACCCACGTGGGAAGGTGACAAATTGTGGCTCATATTTTGTCAAAACTGCCTGCAATTTGATCATCTTGAGTCTAGTTAAAGGCTTTGTACAAAGAAAGAATAAAGCCTATTCAAAGGTTAATGCAAATCTGATTGTGTAATATTATGAACATTTTCCCCCAGAAAACAACAATAGTAAGTTTCCTTTAAGCATCCCCTTCATAATCTCAAATTAAATCTTCACATGTGCATTGAAACTTGAATACTCTTCCTGCCTTTTATCAACAGTTTATTGAGTTTGAGAACTTGAAATCTGTTTATTATGAGGCAGAAATAATTAGGCTAATAAGATTTCATTGTTCATTTGAGCTTACTCGAATTGGATGATTGAATGGATGGAAAATTTGACTGAAATCCTCTATTTGACTCTAATTGGGTGGTTGAATGGATGGAAAATTAGACAGAAACCGTCTATTTGTTATTTAAAAAGAGAAAAAGAATAAGCCAGCTTGATTTTGTTTAGGCACTATATATGGGACTTGTAAGCTCCACTAATTGATAGTCATAGAAAAAACCAATTACTTTCACAACAAGTTGACTTGTTTTCCTCAGAAATTAAACTTGAATGGGTAAAACAAAGGTTAATTAAAACCTAGTTGGCCTGACATCTGAAACTTAAAATTTATGGAAGCTGGCAAAATGATTGTGGATATAATAAAATCCCCAATTGAATAAATAAAATTATATGAATCTTTAATGTAAAAGTGTTTCTGAACATAATTGGTTGACAATGCAATACATGTAACGTATATCATTGGAAGGAAACAATATTTATAGGAATTTTAAACCAAGAGATTTAGGTGATCATTCTGGATTTCTAAATCAAACAACATCAGAAAACCATATCCAAGATAGATCATAAGAGCACTGGGGATGTTGGTTTTATGAGTGGTATTTTCAATAATACAGGAGACAATGAGGACCAAATGCATTGATACTGCCACATTTCCAAGTCAGCAGTGGGGCCCATGAAAAGGGTTTGTTTTTTCAATTAGGCTTTGCCATTGCCATATCCAAAGAAACCAGCCAGGTGTTGAATTCTGCAGCATCTTCCGCATGTGGGTCAGGAGCTCTCCTTGCAGTTTCCAGTTGTGCCAGACACCCATCAATCTTAATTATACAATTCTTAGAGGCTTCTTGCATTTTAAAATATGCAAGGAAATCTTCCACCTAAGCTAAACATGGATTTAAGGTTTATTTTTCCTTAGCTCAGCTCTCCGCAAACTGATTAAAGGGATCTAGGTATCCTCAAGGTCTACTAACTCAATCATGCAGCCTTTTTTTTGGAGGGTTAAAGCATGGGATCTTGGTCACTACCTAAAGCATTTTAGTATAAAATTTGTGTTTAAACGCACATGATCCACCAAACCATAGGCTGTATAATTGGTTGAATATAATATAACAAAATATTGTGGATAATTTCTAATTAATTTCTAACAGGAAAGAAACACAGGAATCTTAACAAGGGGGGAAAATAAAAAGATATTTATTGAAGAATATGTACTATGGTATGGTAACAGTTTGATCCAGGAGAAAATATTGTATAGAAATTAGAGGAAGAGCTCTCTCTTAAACTCTGTCATATATAAATAGAAAAGAACGTCGAGACTCAACATTTTTTTAAGCATATGATGTAATATCTATCTGTTAGCCTTGGCACTTTTTCCCTGCAATTCCAACCTCAAGAAGAAAATTTTTAACCTATTAAACACATTAATAGACAATCTCTACATATACATTTCAGGAATTTAGTTTAGATTTAATTTGTTAGTGACACATTTATAGTATAAGATTTGATTCATAAGATATATATGTCAGTATCTTTATCTTGATGCTACATAGCTTGCAGCTGTTTTGGAACCAAATTTTATGGAGGAAACCAAAGCACCCCAAAAAGAAAAAAGAACCAAATTCTAAACTTCCAGAAGGTTAACATGCAATTCGCTGCCTGGGTACATCGAACAGCTGATAATCATCTCCTGAAGGGGCTACCTTTTAGTTTCCAACATATATTATAAATATGTTAATAGTTGCATGATCATATATAATTAAAAAAAAAAGACTGCAAAGTAATGCGCTTAGATGTTATATTATAAATATGGTACAACTTTGTGTGAAATAATAGGGGGGGCATGCATGATCTGACTTCTTTTTGCACAAAGGGTCAAAGCAAATGTTTATAGTTTATTATGCACTTTTTTCTAAACCATGGCACTGGAAAACCATTTGCAGCACTGATACACGACCATATACATTGTGTAAACAGAAAAATTTTAAATAAAAAAAAAGGAATATGGTTACTAATTCTATGCTATAAGTAAAGATCACATCACACTAGCTGATGTTGAATCAATCTTTTCCGAGAATCTTAGGATATTCTTTGCTGCATAATTTATATATACACCAAAAGCTGAGATACCTAGACTCTCTCTATCCTCCCACATCTCTCTTCATCTTAACCGTAGATTTTGAAAAAGAAAGAGAGACAAACCGATAAAGAAAATGCCTTAAATTAGCTAGAACAGCTTTGGGAACAATTCCCCATACCAATATTTCAGATTAAATAAAGGTTTAGAATCTCATATAAAATGGGATTGCGGGTGATTATAGTGTTGTAGTTGGATCATGGATGGATTTGGGAATGGTGGGGAGGGGCTGCTCCCTTTGCTTTGGCTCTCCAAAAAAAAACTATGCATAGACACAGCGTTTTCCTAGGGATTACATTTGCTTTGCAAATCGTGTGAAGTAATGCAACCTGTAAGGTTTGCATGTGCCCACAAATCTATAGTAGATATGATATTCTCTACATCTCTCTCCACTAGACTTTGTCTTTGTTTTTTCTGATATTTTATCATTGCTAACTACATCACTCATCAAATCACACCAAATCAACATAATCCCCTCTTTTCTTCTCTGTTATCATTAATTAATTATGATCATTTTAATTTTATCATTATAATTATGTTACAATGTGGTTTAAAATATTAAGCCATCCCCCACCTATAACCAGAAAAAAATTAATTAAATTTCTCATTTCTCAACTATATATCTCCTTCTGGGAGGGGTCAGTTGGTCTTACCAGGTTAATCCCCACGTAGACTTTCTGAGAGTTTTTAGGGTTAAGCAATTCATGGAACATCACCTGCATGTTTACTTCCTCCTTACAATCCTTATCATTTTTATATGGTTTTTATTTTAATTAATCATTGTTAACTTGGACTGATGGGGGTTTTATTTAAAGGGGATTATCATGAGCAAAGAAGAATATTCATGCGTCGGCATTGAACTACAACACGTGGCGTAATACTAGTAGTGAATCCATGGCCAGTTAGCAGTCACATTGTTTAACATAACAAACTATTTTTTATAGTTTCCTGAATCATCTGATTCACGACTATGGAATTAAATAATTGTTGTTGAAAATGATAATAATTATTATACATCTTATCGAGCAAGGCAGCATTTTTCACAGGTCTGCATCATAGCTCAGCATCGGTTATCGAATAAAAATTTATTATTTGGGGTGTGCATGCAAGACCACAACAATAATAAATTCAGGAAGCAAAACAAGTGTTGGATTTGTGTGATACATGTTTTCTTCTTTAAGCCAATGCTTTAATTTAATCTCTAAATGCTCATTTGTTTCAAACATGTTTGGAGGAAAAAAGAGTGATGGGGAGTCCCTCAACATTATTATATATAATTAACCAAACCTTTGAATTGGGATTCATAATTTGACCAATGATCCCTCGCCCCTCTTTGACTTACTTTGCTTTTTAATGTTGTGAAACTCAAATTTATCCTCTTTTATATAACCCCATTCACTGTATATTTTAATGAAATCTGTCATAATCGATTGGTGTATGATTTTAATAATTTTGAAAAATATTAACCAAGCGGACTCTTAATAAGTTTAAAAGAGTTTATGATGAGCTTTGGGTGATTTAATTTCCAAAAAAAAAAAAAAACTCGAAAATGTCTCCAGAGGTGTGATGAGTTTAAACTGTGGGTATTATTATAAGGACTTTTGCTTTCTGAATGAGGGAACTCATGCTTTAGTGTAAGAAAGAAAAGGTTATGCCTGCAATTACCCAGCAAATGCTATACTCTGGGAGGGATTGAGGGGGGTGTCTTTGGTAATTGCAAGAGGTTCACATGTCTTTATAAGAAATTGGAAGATTCTCACTTTCCACCACACAAACAACTCATAAAATATGACCCACAAATCATGCGTTAAACAGCTCAATTAGATTTGGTTCCCCTTTGGCTAATTCTTAAACAGGATATCTTCCCTCAAATTATCGCGATCTTTTGGTCAAATTAGCCTCTCCCTCTCCCTCTCTCTCTCTCTCTCTCTCTATATATATACATATACATATTTATTCAGCATTAATTCTTCACAAAATTTAGTTTTATTTTTTTATATAATATAAAGAAATACTTGATTTTGGAGAATTGAACCCTTTTGAGAAATATATATTTTACATTGACATCTCTTTTATGGAAACATTCAAACAAAAATTTCGAGATTGATACAAGTTCGGATATAATCCCAAGAATCCCTGTTAAGCTGCAGCCAGGATTTCTAGAATCTATGCTTAAAGGCCATGCTAGCTATATGCCTTTATAGTAGTAAATTTTTTGGCCCTTTTGCTTAAGACATAGAGAATGTTGTTTAGAACAAGATGAGATAGAAATCAAAAACTAAATACACAAATGAAAGATATACAAAGCAAAAACCTTAGATTTCAACCTTAACTTAGACATGAAATCCTGTCAAAATGATAAGCTTTCCTTCTTTTGAAGGAGCGTGACATGGACTCTTGCAGTGTAGGTAAAGTTGAAGCTATCAACGCACTGCAATGGCGCGTAGGGCTTGGATTTTTTTGGCTAAGCTTAATTTTGAAAGAGACAATCCCTTTCAGGTCTTAGGCTTCAAGGTCTATTTAAAATTACTAAAATAAATTAAAGAAATAATATAATATTAATTTGGTTTTTTTTTATTGCTTTTGGTGTTGTAATTGAAAAAATATATAAGGTAAGTACTCAAAAAAATAGGCAACAGAGAGGTAGTGGAAAAAAATGAGCATAAAATCTATGGGTATATATATATATATATGGCTAGTAAATCTGTGCACAATCTGATCCAGCGATGCAATAATTACTTAGGTGCAAACAGCTTAAAAGGGGGACGGAGATCTCTGATTCCTCAGCAACTCTCCTTTGCCAGAAAGTTTGCTGCAAGAGAAGGCTTGGGATTTGCGAAGCTAAACTATCGCTCTTTTTTCTTTCTTCTTGTTTTCTCTCTTTCTTTGACATATCATCACTGAAAAAACATAGAAGATGGGTAGCAGTTATTTTGGAGAACCAAACATGGGAAATGAAAGAGGAGGGTCGTCTTCGAGAAAAGGCAAGAAGAGTAATTCAGACAAGCCTAAGCAACCCCAGAGAGGCCTTGGTGTGGCTCAATTGGAGAAGATCAGATTACATGGACAAATGGGCTCTAGCTACCATCCTTCTCTTCATGGACCTTACGCTGGAAATTTCAACCAGGTAACTTCTCACTCTTTCTTCTTCTTTTTTTGCCTTCCCTAGCCCCTCCTTGTGTTTTTTTCGTGCTTGAAAGATTATCTGGCAATATCAGGCGAAGTATTTATTTGGGGAATTTCATTAAAATTTTTCTGTACATGCAGGAAGACATGAGAGTGCAGACAGCTTATTCATCTATGCCATCATCATCCTTTTCTTATTCATCAACCTCATCAACATCCTCAGCTTCTTATGGTTTCCACCCCAGCATGATGGTAGGTGAACCTGCTCTTTGTTGTCTCCAAAGAGTACCATAAAATTCCAATTTTTTTTTTTCAAAAAATTGATGGGTCATTGAGTGCATCTTTGACATGATTTTCTGTGTCACCCATTTGCAACCGTTGTTTCCTAATAGATGATGAGGTAGCGTACTGCTCAGAGGAGAAAATACATGGCAGAAGATTTTTGGTGGATATTGCAATATTTGTTTAGCATCCTCATCATGATCATGGCACACAAGCTTTGATGGAAATAGTTGTCTCTTTCTTTATGAATTTATCGAAATTATTTTTGTACAAGGATCCTTGAAGTTGCTGACTTTGTTTACTTGGTGCTAACCCTAGACACTTTTTCCCGAAGAAATAAATTTTCAGTACTTCATATTGTCATCCCCCATCTTGATTGCTGTATATAAATTATTATATTGGTGAATAGAAGTGTTCCAATGAGAACCAGAATTAAAGAAATTAAGGAAACTGAATTGATTGTTTATGTGTTACTTTATTAGGAATTCTCTATAGTCTTGAATTGCAAAGTAAATTAGTCAAATTTACCTGATATTACAGATGGGGCTAGGTGAATATGATCAAAGAGCAAACATCAGATATGGTGATTCCCAACCTAGTACTGCAGCAAGGTGAGCGTAATTGACTTTCCTATCCTATTTCTTTTCACGAGAATGACCGTTTGGTGAAAATCTGATTTCTCCTTAGAAGCTTGTTCTAGGGTGTTTTGTGCTTATACTTAATATCTCCAATCGTTTGCAGCAGTTGGAACCCCGGCAGTGGCATCTTAGACACTCAACATTATGCACAACCAAACATGACCAGACAGCTTCTAAACCTACATGTCGAGGTTGCTACATACTCCTTTCATATGTAGATGCCCACATTAAATGCAGAAATGAAAGCTATGTGGCATGTCAAGATTCTCTTTTGTATCATTGAGCCAAAAAAAAAAAAGATTCTGTTTTATATCGAATTTAATATTTTTTCCCTTCCTTTTCTTATATACTTATAGGATTCACAACCAAAAAAGAGCAAGAAACACAGGAGCAACTCATTGGGATCTAGCAGTCATAATTCTGAATCAAGTGACACGCAAGAGCTGGATTTGGAGCTTAGACTGTCATTGTAATCAGCAGTTTTCCACCAGTTAAATGCATGGACTGCATTTTATGCTTCCCTTAGAATTGTAAGTTCAAGATAAGCAGTTTGGTCTTGCAATTCACATACAAGTTGAGCAAGTTGATGAACTTGTTTGAATTTACATTTGAAAGGAATCTTATGTAATGAGAGGTAGATTGACTTGCTGCATGAGATATAGTAAAAATTTCATATTCTTGTTCATGAATTTTCAAAGAAATGAGGATTAAAGTCATAATTCTCACAAAATTCAATTATTTTGAGCCTAGCAGTCAGCATCTAACAGTAGCAACTTCATGAAATCATATTAAATCCCATTAATGCAATTGAACCTTAGTCCTATTGTTCAATAGTTAGTCACTTTATTAAAGAGGGTAAAAAAGGAGATTAGGAATATAACCGATCAGGGAAACTGTGGTCAACCAAGTACGTGCTAAGTGGGGATTAAAGCTTCTCAATTAAGGTAAAAGTAATAAGGGACAACTTTGGATGTCTCCGAATCCTTTTCTTCAAATACATGAACTTACTATGTGGCATTTTGCAAGCAACTGAGTTCACAGTCAAGCAGGTGCTTTTGCCTTTAGAAAAATGAAAATAAAACTAATATTAAATCCACTAGATTAGGGTTATGTCAAACAAGAAATTTATATCTTATGTCATCTAAATACAAGCCCTAGCTATCTATACTACAGCTAGGAATTTCTAAGGAGCCAATCAATTGGCATGCGAGAAATTGCACTTGACACAAATAGGAACACAATAAATTTGAATCACAGTGCCATATTATTATGAATATGGTCTATATATACTTTGATTTTTTGAGATTTAATAGGTAGTATAAACCTACGAGGTAACTCATGGAGAGAGGAAAGGTGAACTGGTTTACTCTATGGAATCAGTACTTTCAATCTTATGCAATTTGCTTTCCTAGTGGCTCCCAGCTGCATCAAAAGTTTAAGTTTGGTTTTGGTTTGGAATCTTAATTTGATCAACTGATTATGTGTCTGCTTTGGGCAATGAAGTGGAGAGAGATAAGGTATATGCTTTATATTTCATGAATATGTGTCAAATCTTCAACAATGCCACAAAGAGAAGTACTGCAACTGCTTGACAAGGTTCAGTTTTAGTGATGTTTATTCCATATTAAAGTCGATTTTTTATTAAGGAATATCATTTTCTTTTTGTTTGAGAGGTTTGGGGGCCGGGAGAATTGTTTCAAATAAAGTTTTGATCACAAAGTTAATTGCTTATACATGTCTTAGATTCAGCTCTGAGGAGGCAGATCATTAGCAGCATTTTCATGGCCTTTCCTCTTGAGTTTTTTATGACATAGACGTAGCGAACCAGCTTGGCAAAGATTAGATTGTTTGGCAGTGAGTAGCTATCATGTGTATGTAGGCACCAAATCCTAAAGTTGCTCTATATATTTAGATGCCTCTCTTTTCCATTTTTTAATGTGTCTTTTTGGATTATTAATTCAGAAAGAATACGGCAAAAAGAAGAATGCTTCCGTTCCAATGCCCATCAATCAACAGTTGGAGACATTGGAGCAGCCATTGTGAATGTAATTTTTCACATGTAAAATCTTTTTTATTAGCCCTGATGCTTACCAACAAGCTTTATATGATGACCAGTCAGATTTATCCTCGATTGCCCATTTACTTTAATCAAGCCAAAATAGATAAAACCCTAGGAACTAGGGTTCCTGTCATCATTTATTTCTTACTTTTTCTTTCTTCTGCTGAGTTGAAACTTAATTAGGGTTTCTAACTGTTATGTAGGATCTTAGCTTAAATTGTCTGGCTCCAATCTTTTGCATCAAATTTGTTTGTCATTATACCATGAGAGGAGTGCGTCACAAGTGAGCTTGACGTGTTTGTTTTTTGCTTTCACTATACATAAAGTTGCTTACTTTAATATGCAGTGTAAAAGCTATGAATATACCCCCAGATACAGCTGTATTAATTTGTCAATCATGGAAAAGATATGTTTGTCATCAAGACCAAAAAAGCTTATTAAAATTACTTTTCGGGTAATGAGATTTGAACCAAAAGCACCCTCTTGATGTGTGTTGATATATTATCTTATCTTGGCAGCAACCCAAGGTGAATTGCATAAACATCAACACTAATTACAATTAGAGTGAAGCGATTGGAGCAAAGCACAGATGTATGTTGGTGTTTTGGCATGGCTTTGGCTTGGATAAAACAAACTCAGTTGCCCACAATCTTAATTTCATCATGGAAGAGAGGGAAGGAAAACTTTGTCACAGTACCAAATAGCATTAATTTCTTCCTTAAAGGGAAATATGAGAGAATGTTCAATAAACCTTTCCCAAACCAGAATACAGGACATCATGCTAATTTTGAAAACTTTCACAAACAGGAATTAACAGGGATATGTGCCCCTCTAAGTAAACAAGAAAGGACCTCATTTCCTTGCGCCTATTTGTTTTTCAGTTTTATGACTTCTTGTCATTAGTCTTTTCAATCATTATTATAAAAATAAAAAGAAAATACAATGTTAACGTTAAATAAAGATTATAGAAATTTGAATCATTACAATCAATCAAATGAGGATAAAGATATATTATATATGTGTATGTATATATCAAATTGTTAATAAAAAAATGTCGAGTTTTTGGACATAATCAACTTTGATCATTGGATTCTCCTTATTTAGTTTTCAATTTGCCTAAAATACAATACAAGCATTAAAACTACCCATGCCCCTGAAGAGAAAAGAGTTTGGAGCTATTGATAAAATAAAATGACGACTTTTGGATTGGCCTGTGCATAGCGGGCAAATTTGCCTAAGTCATCGTCTGCATTAGCTGCTATCATTGTTGAAAACTGTCATTAGTTTTAATTCAATTTTGGCTTGTAGGCCATCATTGATATTACCTTGCTGATACGGTAACTTCCAAGTCATTATCTTCTCCTTAGAAATTAAGAAAAACAAATTTCAAAATACCAATACAGTGGAAATATATCATTCAAAAGATAAGATCAAAGTTCAAATCTGGGGGAGGGTAGGTGGGAACTCTAAACTGTGACAGTCCACTCAAAAGAGAGACTACCACAATTTCAATTTCTTGCTTTGCGAGCCAGGGTGGGCAACTCTCCATCTGCTTGCCTATTTACCTTGCACAACAGATACGGGAGAAAGCTTGGATCATTGTATAGCACCATCAAACTTTCTTTCATTGAAATTTGTAGGAAACTTGGCTTATGAGTACTTTGTCTGTCTGATGGAATTTTCAATGCCAAGGCCTACAGGAGAATCTAAGGGACTGAATTAGAGCTTGTGCAATGTACCCTGTTGCCATAAATGTTCTTATAAGGATATTTTGGAAGGAGACAAGGCACAAGGGGTTAAGACAAAGGGACCGAATGTCTCCTTATCCTTTGATTTTTCTGATTCTCAATCATTCAAAGTCCCCCTTGCAACATATATCTTCCTGTGAATCCCTGTCTTTCCTTGTAGTTTTCAACCCTTTTGCCAAGCCGAGGGATGGATGGTTAGAAGCTAGCAGACATTCTTCCTGTTTTGATTGGGGGCTAATTCATCTCCGCTTGGTTTGCCATAAATCAGGTGCTTTCTAACATATTGGAAAAAGCGGTTACTTGGCATTAATAGAGAATGGGAAATAATTTTTTTCAATGAATGTGAACTGTCTACCTGTGGAAGAATTTGTTTGGAAGATGATTTTGGGCCGTGTATGGCAATTACCACACCGTCCTGGGTTACAAAGTGTTGTGCTAAACGTGCAGTATGTGTTTTGGTGTTCTTAATTATCTGAAGATATATGCCTTGATTTGATTGATACTGTATTCTGATTTCAAGCGTTAACAACAATTGCCTTGATGAGGGGGGTTCGGTTCTACTCATCTTCTCAAAATCTATAGGCATTGAGAACCCAAATGAAATCTAGCAGAAAGTCTAGCCATCAGAAAAATATTCGTGATATTTGTCCCATCAAAATGGGTAGATTCACATGATCTTATCATTTATAGTGATTTTACAAATGCGGCAAATTGGGTCTTAGAGCCACTAACATCGCCTCGGAATGTGAAGAAATGTGATATTGCGGATTGAAGACCTTAACAGGAAGGTGGGAAGGTGGCAGGTTCAACACATCCTAGGGGAGGCAGATGTGATGGCTGAGGGCTCGACAAAGCCCGATACAAAGACAACATGACATGATGGTGATGATGTGATTGGTGGGGAACTCGGGAGGTGCTGCTTCTTTGTACAACGCAAGGTAAAAACCTTTATTTCATGGCTTGATGTAAACTGGAGGAAGTTAATCGGCAATAGAAAGTCTTGATTGGTGGATATTTTCTTATTGAAAACTCTGTAAACAACTTGCTAGTTGCTGTGTTGTAACCCGAAAGGGGTAAGGTCCTGTTGAAGGGCTGCTTTGGGGGGAACTTCCGATATGGTTAGAGTCTAATACTTGGTGAAAAGCAAGAAATTATGTTGTGGCTGGATTTTTGAATATGAAATCCTGGGTGGATTGTATTGTAAGCGGCTGACGGGCTGTTTTTATGCCGTTCCTCCGTGTCTAGGTAGTTGTTCTGCTGACATAGCTGTGTGGTTGGGAACGTGGGATGCTGGAGGCTGGTTCTGATCTGTAAACGATTAGCAGTGGCTGTTAATGTATTTTTGTTCATTATGTCTTACTTGCGGATACAGACCCTGTCTACTCCGTTTGTAACAAAAACAATGTTATTAATAGAAATCGTTTGCTTAAGGCCTGAGAACCAGTGAATGAAAATCAGGTGAAATCAGTCAAGGAGTATTGCACGCAGTACGATTTAAGTCCCCAACAAACAAAGACCTTGACCAATATGGACACCCCATTTTTTCTTCCATTGATCCCACTAAAATTAAATAAAAACTTAAAGAAAAAAATATCAAAAGTTAAATTTCATCTATTTTCCCATACAAAAAATTAAGAATCCAAATAGTAATATGTATTCAATCTTAACGCTTATATATGAATTTTTAAAACTTAAAATTTGTATTGCTTATTGTTATTATTAATTGCTAAAAAAATTCTTCTTGATTGACAAGTAGTCTAACCATTTGCCTTCTTTAATGATTGTAAAAGGAATTAAAGTTAATTGTCACAATTATAAGGAAAAAAGAAAAGAAAAGAATCAACGCTATTTTTATAAAAAAAAATTACAAATGTCCAATTTCATGCATCACTGCACGGATATACCTATATATGAATATTGATAATTATAAAATAATGTATTCGATAATTATCATTTTTTTAAATAATGTAATAATATATTTGATTTTATTATTTATATAATAAATCTGTAATTTACGTATAAATTGTTCAAATGATATTATAAGATTATTTGAGTTTCTTTTTTTATATGATTAACTATGATATAATCCCACTGAAAACGTTTTTTGGGCTATGCCACTGGAAAATCCAAGTTTGAAAATTAGGTAATAGTATACCAATGGCAATAAACAGATTTGGCTACCGCAACGTCTTCCTAACGAGCTCAACTCCATTAGAGTTCCTGTTTACCTGCTGAACTCTTTCCCAATTAAGCTTCTTCATGGCCACCGTTGAAATGAATACAATGTTCCTATAATTAGCTAAGCTAACTCTTATTTTGGGTGTCCTCTAAACAGGGAGCCAGCTCTAATTTTCCATGATTTGTACGTAACTGATCATGTTGGAAAGCCTTGGATTAGAAAGATGCGGAGAGGAATGAGGGGAAGGGCATTTGGAAGCTAAGACAACATATATATATAAAGGAGGGAGGAGGCTGTATAAAGAAGCCGCAGCAGGGATTAGAAAAGTAAATAAAGTGTACAATTATGACGATGTTATGGAGAGGCCTGTGTATTCTACCTCTCCTTTTTGTCTCTGGTAACTGTCAATTTTTGTTCCCTTTTTTCCATCCTTTTAGTAATCCAGGCAACGGCCTCAACATTGGTGGTGTCGTTCCACAAAATGCTAATGGCTTCTTTCCAATTGCGGGTGGCTCCCCTTCTGGTGGGAGCTTATCTGCTCAAAACAAGGACGACGGTAGCTTAAATTCAGGCTCCGTCAACGTTGCTGGTGGCTCTGCTGACAATAAAAAATGGGAAAGCAATGTAAAGGACAAAATCAAGACTGGATACAAGGGCAAGTGGGAGCTGTTTGTTAGAAATGCCGGTGTCTCGGCCATGCACTTGATCTTACTTCCCAAGATTGACCAGGCTTTGATGTTTGACGCCACGGTTTGGAAGCAATCAAAATTAAAGTTGCCTGGCCCGCCTTGCCGTGAAGTCGAGGGAACCAATGAGCTAGACTGCTTTTGCCATTCTATTCTCTTGGACATTGAGACAGCAAAGATTAGGCCACTCAGGGTACATTTTGCTTTCCTATTTTTTCATGCATTTATGGTGCCTTTGACAAAGATGGTGGAAAGAAGGGGGGGAAGAATTACTCAGTTTGCCTACTTATAATATAATCTCATCTTATAAATGAAAATATTTTGACATTTGTTTTTGTAACAGTTGAAATATGACACTTGGTGTTCATCTGGTGCCCTTGATGTAAACGGACGGCTAGTGAGCACTGGTGGATATAATAACGGATCAGACACTGTCAGAATTCTCGACATTTGTCCTACCTGCGAGTGGAAAGAATATCCTGGAACACTTGGAAATGGAAGATGGTATTTAACTTCACTTATGCACTATAAAATTCTCATTTTCATGCCATTTTCGAAGTTGAAGCTGAGTTGTTTTTGTCATTGAAGGTATGCGACACAGGTAACCTTAGGAGATGGTAGGTTCATGGTTTTTGGTGGTCGTAACTTCCCAACTTACGAGTTCGTCCCACCAGAAGGGCAACGCAATGATAAAAGCAAAGTCATCCCTTTCAAATTCCTGGCAGAAACCCATGATGCGGTGGAGAACAATTTGTACCCTTTTGTCTTTCTCTCAACCGACGGAAACCTCTTCGTCTTTGCCAACAACCGTTCCATTCTGCTCAATCCAAACAATCAGAAAATCCTCCACGAGTTCCCCGTTCTCCCAGGTGGTGCCCGGAACTATCCAGCATCGGGAAGTTCTTGTCTCCTCCCTATTACACTTCAACCAGATGAAAAGCGTAAAGTCATCCCTGCTGAGGTCTTGATATGCGGCGGCACATCACACGATGCTTTTACCCTGGCAGATTTAAAGCGCCCGAAGGTGTTTGTCCAAGCAAGCAAAGACTGTGCCCGCATCGACATCACCAAGAGGAATGGAAAATGGAAGATCCAAAGCATGCCATCGCCTCGTCTTATGGGAGACGCCGTGGTTCTTCCAACTGGAGATGTGCTGCTCATCAACGGTGCCAAGAGTGGTTCAGCCGGATGGGACGATGCCAGGGAACCAAATTTCACCCCCGTCTTGTATAATTTCCGAGTAAAAGAAGGTGGTTCCAAGTTCACAGAGCTTGCACCTTCGACTATTCCCCGCATGTACCATTCATCCTTCGCACTTCTTCCTGATGGAAAAATCCTCATAGCTGGTAGCAACACAAACCCTGGATACCAAGATAACGCCCTCTTCCCCACTGAGGTTCGTGTAGAAAAATTCTCACCACATTATTTGGATCCAGCATTGGCCAAGTTTAGGCCTGAGATCGTACTTGACCAGTCCGCCAATAAGATTCATTACGGAAAGAGATTCACGGTGCAAATACGTAGTGCTGATCGGACCCTGGACGACGAGGATCTCCAAGTAAATATTTACTATCCGGCTTTCACAACACACGGGATCTCCATGAATCAGAGGCTGGTTCGATTAGGAATTGTTCAAGTGGATAAAAACGTTTCCTCTCGAACCCACAACATCAAAGTTCAAGCACCCATAAACGGTAACATTGCTCCTCCTGGTTATTACATGCTCTTTGTGATTCAAAAAGGGGTGCCTTGCGGCCGTGCCATGTGGGTTCAGATGCTCCCCTAGGCCTCATTACTTCAAGCTCCAGTTTTAAAAAATTTCAACAACCAAACGAAAACAAATCAGGAGAATTCAAAGTCTTGACGTTAGCCTCTCTAAATTAGAAGATTCAATATAAATTATGATTTCTTGTCCACATTTTGTTAACCAATTGTAATGTTGGTTGTTCATATCTTGAAGTCTTGAGGACAATTTTTTTTTGTGTGTTTCGTACTCCTCAATCTAAATTCTTTAATTTTTATTTTATTTTCTTTTTTGGGATTTCTGCAATTGACACGAGAATAAATGTTGGTTGCTCAAACATCCACGTCCGCCAAAGCAATTAGAACTTTGAGGGGATGACAGAAGACAACTCTGTCTTTCAACAAAACACGAAAACTTTAACGTTGTCAATACGCGTGCACGTCTAAGACTAGGAAAGACATTGATATTTCCATTAAGTCTCATGCACGATATTTCGTTTCTCTTCCTACTCCTACCGTGCACCAGCTGGGCTCAACTGACCAAACTTTTCCTTTAATTATATGATTAATAGTATTTCTGATTAACATCTAAAAGTAAGACCATAAAACTAGCTACTAGCCAGCATATACTTGATTTTTATTTTAGTTTGTGCACTCCTCGGACTGAATTCGCATTGTTTTTCTTTTAATTTGGACATAAATTCTTCAGAAGTTCGTCAAATTTGCCAGAACAACAAATAAAATAGCCAACGGGGCAATATTTCTCCAGCAAATCCTTGCCAAGAGTTATGATTTATCGTACCTCCTTTATTGTAATATACCCCCAAAATTACCAGTGTTAATTATATAGTACCACGCATAGTTCAAAACTGGCTGTCTGAGGGGAGTACCGACCATGTAATTAACCATAATACAAAATCAAAACTGAAAAAGTCTTTATATGATTGCAATATATGAACTGAACTACATGTTCCTACATTGCATATGCCAGGTCTTTGTTCTGAGTTTTCTAATTTTTGATGAAATGATAACATATTCCTTGTCTTTGCTGTCAAATAATTTAGGGGGAGTCAATAATCATAAGTTCAGCATATTTCAAATTTTAATTAAAAAATTGTAATACAATGGTTATCTTAGTAAGGCATATGTGGTGGAACAGGCTATATAAAGCCATCGAGAACAATGGGGAAAAGCATCCCTTCTCAACGGCATTGATTGACAAATACAGAGCCAGCTTCTCCATTGCAGTTGAAAATGGCTAGTTTGCAAGCTTTGTTGTTGGCTCTATTCATCACTGCACTTGCATTTAACCAAAGTTTTGTTGAAGCAAGGTTTTCGAATAGCATGTACATAAATTGGGGGGCTCAGCATTCAACTTTTGCAAGCAATGGTGAAGACCTTCAACTTGTGTTGGATCAAACTTCAGGTAAAACAGTTCAGTTTTCATATACTTGCAGGTGCTTGCTAAAGCAAACATCTAAGTAAACTGAATCATATTGCTTGCTCTTTTGACATTACGATGCTGCCTTTGATTTTGCAGGTTCTGCTGTTAAATCCAAGGGGGCATTCATATTTGGAAGCATTGAGATGCTAATCAAGTTGGTACCAGGAAACTCAGCTGGAACAGTCACAGCCTACTATGTAAGTGCAAAAATGTTAAGCACAAACAACTAACTACATGTCTACATCAAATAAAATAGCAATCAATTTTGATTGTTGTTAGCAAAGCTTCTACATTCAGGTGTCTTTCATCCTGTTATCATAAGTCAAAACTGAATCCCTCAAGAAAACCACATTCAAGAAGATTAAAAGTTGGTAATTCAAATACAAGTGAAGGGCAACTTAATTCCAACTAAATATTTTGAAGTAAAAATATTCATTCACAGCATCAATGACCACATATAGATGGATTTAAACCCAGAGTACGGGTCTTTAAAACACTTGAGAGGAAATAGAAAGAACAGAAGAAAATTACATAAATTTTAATCTTTCATTCTCAAATATATGCAGCTGTCCTCTACCGGGGACAAGCATGATGAGATCGACTTCGAGTTCTTAGGTAATGTTTCCAGACAACCATATATTGTTCACACAAACATCTACACTCAAGGAAATGGAAGCAGAGAACAGCAATTTTACCTGTGGTTTGACCCCACTGCTGATTTCCACAACTACACCATACACTGGAATCCCACCGAAGTCGTGTAAGTTAACTTCCCTTCAATTATACTAGAACATCATTTTCCTTTTCTCCAAATATATTCATTTGAAATCCAGTTCAAGAACATAGCAAATGCGGACCATTTTTCTGCTGTTGTTAATTTTTCAGTGAATTCCAAGACAACCAAAACATGTAATTATAAATCTTAATGCATTTCCCTATTCTCATGAAACTAACCAAAAAATACTTAATGGTTTTAGGTGGTACATCGACAACCTGCCAATTCGTGTTTTCCGAAACTATGAGAAAGAGGGGATTGCTTTTCCAAACAAGCAAGGAATGAGGGTATACTCCAGTTTATGGAATGCGGACAACTGGGCAACTAGAGGTGGGCTTGTCAAGATTGACTGGAATAGTGCACCTTTCATTGCCAGATTCCGTAGGTTTAGGGCAAGAGCTTGCAAGTGGGATGGGCCACTGAGTATCAATCAATGTGCCTCCAGATCCCCAGCAAACTGGTGGACTTCCCCAACTTACAGCCAGTTGAGCAGTAGTAAGATGGGTCAGATGAAGTGGGTCAGAGATAACTTCATGATCTACGACTACTGCAAAGATACTAAAAGATTCAATGGACAAATGGCTCCTGAATGTTTTAAACCGCAGTTCTAATCCATATTCCCATTTCCTTTCCTACTACCATTAACCAAAAAATTATTTTGTTACATTCCTCATTTCATTGCTTTTTTCCTCTAATTTTTGATTGGGCAAATTTTGTACGGTTAATTGTGTTTCAATTGTATTGCAGTTTTTTTCCTTTTTCCGTTCATTCAATAAATTTCAGCTCGTTTAATCATTGCTTCCACTATTTATTTTTGCTTTACAAGAAAAAAGTTACTACAAAGTAAAAGCAAATGGTACAAAGCAAAATCATAGTAATAGATTCAAAACGATAAATAACTAACACATAACACTATTTCTCACAGAATTGTTCTACATAATAATAAAATTATGTACTAATAAAAGAAAAAATTAAAAAAAAGAGAGCAAATCACTTGCAGATCACGTGATACAAAGCCAAACACCCAAAACAATAAAACCCGTACCCAATAGTGCATGACCGACCCGGGTTTCCTCACCCAGTAGGATTCCAAACACGGCGGTGGCAGCAAACGTCGTCGCATTGGTGACGGGGACGGCCAGCGAAATTGGGGCCTGGCTTAAGATAGCGAAGAAGGTGGCGGAAGCGGAGAGGTTGATGAGGAAAGGGAGGGAGTATTGCCAAAAGAAAAGGAGGGTCAGCCAATTGGATAAGGAATAGAGAAGCTTTTGGTGGAGTTTGTGGGGTGGATCGCAAGGGGGTGGACTGGATTTGAGAGATTGGTCCCACAGGAGTGCGCCGCGGCGCATTGCAGCGTTGGTGGCGCCCCAGATTAGGCCGACTGCCAACATTTTCTCCACGCCTCCGATCATTGTTTCTGATCGTTGTTTGGGCTGGCACAAAAAATGATCTTGCAAGAAGCGACCGCAATGCACGACCAAACTCAAAACGACTTCGTTTTCGTTGCAAGTAGCAAAGGGCTGACTTGTGTTTAAGTGACGTCCTACCCGGTCGTTGGTTTTACTTGTTTTCCCCGGATCCGGACCCTTTTTGGGGACTGGAGAGGGCAGTCCATATCTAAGATGCAAACACGTGTCATGTTATAAAACAAACGACAAGGATTCGCAAGAAGTGGCAAAATAAAGCAAACCCTGTTTTTTTTTTTTCTGAAAGGTAAAACAAACCGTTTTGTTCGTTAACTTTTGAGGCAAACGACGCCTACAATCCAAAGATTCCTGCTAATCTCACTGGAAAAACATGGAAAACCTCATCAGAATCTTCACCTGAGACCACTTTGGTTCTCAAGTTCTATCTTAAAGTAAAAAATTTCCAACAAAATCCACTATTTATTCTCTTAATAAAACTTTTGCATTTATGTGTGAGAAAGAGAGCCTCAGATGCTGGCAATTGTAAATTGATCGGAAAGTAATGTAAGGGGATATTATCTCTGATATGCTCTTAAGTTGTATGTGAATTTTGTTAATCTGATGGCCTGATGATGAGCCAACAATCAATTATTACTTTGGCCACTTCAACCCATACAGGCTTACATGTTCCTTTTCTGCTATTGTTTGATCCTTCTTCAACCTTAACAAACAAGTTTTTCCAATCCATGTAACACTCAGTTAGATTCCATATTTGGTTAGAAATCATGTATCCTTTGTCCTGTTAAGTTTTCATTAATCAAAAGTAATGTTCTTGTATATGGCAGAGAAATAGCAAAAAACTAATTTTATGAGCGAGAACGGATGAAGAGTTCAAACTCTCACTAATTAGCTTGTTACTATCAAATAACATGCTAATTTCTTCCTTGTTTCGCTTTCTATTAATCTTTCTAGCTAGATGACAACTTGACAGTTATGATGGCTAATGATTTTGCAGGAAGTTTATTATGTTGGTGACAATTTTTTTTTTAAGATTTGGAATTAATTGAAAGAGAGAAAGTTGCAAACTTGATATTAATTTCTTACATATAAAAGATAACACACTAGTTTAAAAAATCCTTCATGGGGTGGTGTATCGTTTTCATCCGATATGCCTCCCAATCTTCAGCAGTAACCTCATCATTCCATCTGATGTTATACTTGCGTTTTCTTTCATCTTTCTCCTCTCTCCTCATGTCATCCTCCTCCTTAAGAGCCTCGGTGAGAAGTTTTTCGTCAATAACCAGGTCGCAAGGAACATCAGTTCCCCAGGTAGCAAGTTTCTTCTCCTCCGCAGGAGGAGGAGCATCTTCTGAGACTGCTTTACGTGCAATATTGGCCTTCATCATCAGGTCTGTTGCTGCTTTTGCAGCCTCAATCCCAGCGCACCAGTACAGTAACTATTCCGAATTGTTTGCTTACAACCAGAGGCGGAGGGGAAGGGGCGCTAGTGGGGACCCCGCCCCGGCAATTTCAAAAATTTTCTAATTATGGAGTACTTCTAATAGGAATTACTTGTATGAGTGGAAGTATGGCCATTTTTAAAAGCTAAAGGCTTAATTCTATCAATATTAATGAATGGATATAAAACACAAGATCATAAAACATGTTAGTAAAAATAGATATGAAGTGAGTAAGGAGGCTTGTGTGTGTTTAGTGGCTCGACTAGTCAAATGAAGAATCGATAATTCAATACTTGATCAACCATTCAATTCAAACTAAAATCAATCACATTCACTAAGTGAAAGTTTAAATCTGCGAGATACCTTCATTTATGCACAAGGTTCCCAAAAGTGTTGGTATTTAAAAATTTTAAAATGGTGGTGGATTGTTGGTGTATTTTCAAAAGTAAAGATCATATCATATAATGAAAAACTATCTTAGTTTAAAAGTTATGTCATATAAAGTGATATAATGTACTATTAGATTGTAAGCAGGTTTTTATGTGAATAGTTATATCTCTTGGTAAAATTACATCCAAAAGTTATGAGATAAATTGAAAAAACACCATAGCTCAAAAATTTAAATATGAAAAGTTATTGTTTCAAATTATAACTAAAAGATTATGTTTTATATCATGAATAGTTATCCTTTCATAAAATAATTATTGAAACGATACTTTTATCCAAAAGTTATGCCTGGCAAAATATAAAGATGCCTTTTAAATAAAATGATACCTTAATGAAAAGATTGTATTTTTTAAAAAAATACGATTGCAAGCCTATATAAAAGGCTTGTTACCCACCATTTTGACACATCAAATTAAAAACAAAACAAGGGCAAAAAAATCAAAAGCAAAAAAAGTGTTATGTTATATTAACATAAACACTTAAGTTATCATCAACTACAAAAGCATCTAAATTCCTTATAATTTACTTGTTGCAGAAAATAAATTTTAAAGTAGAACAACTTTACAAACCCTCGAATATATCTAGTGATCTACTCTCGTAAAGTGTAAGACGAAGTTAGATGTTAGCTTCATTGTATCTTTAAAACTATTTGCATTATTCTATTTTGCATACCGAGTGGTGGAGGCGAAATAAGTATTAAAATAGCTTGCTTGCCTTGAAGTCAATTTTGTTAGTTTTTTATATAAACTCCATTTGCATCAATAAAAAGTATTTAAAACGCGGACGAAAATTTTATTAAAGCGAGTATCTACAAATAAAGTGAGAGACCAATTTATAGGATAATTACTCTTTAAATTTTGATCTTAATATGATCCAATCTATACATAATCAAAATTTAATATATATATATATATTCAAATATGAGAATTTAAATATATATTTTTTGTGTTTGATCTATTGCGCTGTTTGATTTTGTTTGAATTTCTTGTCTTATAACATAATATACATTTACATATATATTTATAATATATTTGTCAATTAAAATAAAATTTAATTATTATATAAATAATACAATTATACATAGTACTATCAAATAAGAATTGAAATTCAAATTAAAAAGTTCTAAAATTGTCCTTTATCAAATAAGAGTTCTACTTGCATTAAATGATTTTTATTAAAGTTTTTTTTTATATATTGAGGATAAAGCAACTAGTTATATCACTCTGGATCATGAAACACTTCAAATGCGAGCAAGTAAGAAATACTTAATAGTTAATATCTTCTGGTGGAGAGTCAAATAAGTGTGATCACTTTTCATGACATGTAGCATCTAATCAACGCATTGATTAGTTTCATCATATATGTTAAAAAATGTACAATCCCAATTCTACTAAAGAAGTTTGTCCATTCCTTTCAATAGATGAGCATTTTGATTTGATAAGGATATAAGCTTAGATAATTTCTGTAATTTTATCAATGAAACTGATTCAACCAAAACATTCATGAAGCTTTTGTTCCAACATATTTTTTAATTTAATGAGGCTTTTGTTCCAACATAAGATGAGTCTATGATTAAGAGCCCATAGTTCAGCTATAATATTTTTTAATTTAACAATATTGAATAAAATACTTTTTAAATATTTTAAATCTAATAATATTGAATAATTTATAAATTAATATTATAAAATTTCAATTATTTATGTTTCACATTTTATATTTTATTTTTATAATTATTATTTAAAAATTTATTTAAAAAATTCACATACAACTCATGTAATATTGCATACTAATAACTTCTAAATATAATCTAAAAACTCTCATACCTTTGAAAGAGGTAAGATAATTGATAAGATTTAAATACCGTATTTTTGACACATTTATTATCTATATATGAGAACATATTTATCCTTAATGATGGTTATAAATTATTAAGTGTACCAAAAAAATAATATAATTCACTAAATCAAAGCTTATGAATGTCTTACAAATGATATCTTCCAAACCAGATAACTTAAATTCAAATTTTCATTTTAATACAAAAACAATTCTAGCTTGAAGGTAGAGTAGGTATAAAAATAGGAGAAAATCATATCTATTTAAATAACTGTAACTCATGTAATTGTTTGAAAAAAAAAAGATAAAATTCAGAAATTAGCAATCATTAATGGTTAAATTTCATCTAGCATATTTTCTTTGAAAAGTCTCAATGTTTTTTTTCTTGGAAACGTCAATAAATCGTGAGAGACAATAATCATGCATACATATAATATAATTGACAATGTTTAATTTTTTTTAAAGATTATTGAAAAGAAAAGGAAAGAAATCTAAAGATTGAAAATTTTATAATTTATGAGAATTTATTAAATATGAAAAAGAGAAAATATTTTTATTATGTAGAATTAAGTAAGAAATAGTTATTTTTTAAAATAAAAACAGCGTCATCTAGCAATATGTTTATATTAAAGTGGGTGATATTGTTATTTTATTATTCGAAATCTTTGTTGTTTCCCCCCTTTATTTTGTTCCAGTGGAAAGAAAATCGCAAATTAAATTGAGCCACAGTGGAACCGGTTTGCGTGGTGGCTTTGTCATAGGATCAGACCAAACTCGTTGTGTCCGAGTCTAAACATTCCGCGGTCCCGCCTACCAAATTGACAGCTCTTTGCTATTATCCAATAGCATCCCGATACCTAATCTTTAATTATCCTCTGCGTTTTATTCATCTAATTTGGAAGAGTCAACATTTTCGCGTTGGATTGAGCTTTTCAATCCACGTGGATATTTATTATATCCTTAAAAAGAAAATTTTCATTTAATCATGCATCAGTTAAATTATTGTCCATATTTTTTAATTTCTCAATTCATGAGTCAGTTAAATTTTATAAAAAAATTAATCAAATCACGATTACTGATGAGTTAAATTAAAATCTCTTTTGCGCAATTAAGATACATTTTTAAGTTAAGAGTTTACTCTATCAATCATACCCAAACTTTAATAAAGAATTTTGAAATCTCTGATTTTGTTTAATAAAGAGGCCACATCAAGTTCTATTAAATGGAAGTTTTCAATTGTCAATTAAAAAAAATCATAATTACTGTAGTAGTTAAGTCAAAAATTCATCCAATGAAAATAATTTTTTAAAAATGATAAAGTCCATAATTCATAGATTTATTACATTATCTATTAATTCTTAAATAAAATTACAAAATATAAAAGTCTTTTGATAAATAATAAAAATAACAACTTATTGAATAAAGTTAATAATGACTTACCAAAATTATTGGAGGATCCTAAAGTTATTTTCACAAAGTTGATTAATTCTAAATAATAATAAAAGCATAAGATAAAAAGTAATAATTAAAATTGAAGGTAATTCAAAAAATTTCATCGTCAAAATTAAAAATTTTTTAATGAGTGTAAGTAATATTCGTTTTATTTTGACTTTCAAAAAATATTCATTTTATTTTAACAATTTTATTATATAAATTATGTAGTTTATCAATAATTACTTTTAATATATTATATTTTTTCAATATAAATTTAATTTCACTGGTAGAATCATTTAATTAACAAAATATGATTATCTCAACAATAGCATATATTAAGATATAAAAAATCAAATGTTTTCAAAAAATTATTTAAATAAAAAATTTTACCTAATAAAACATGAGAAAGTATTTTAAAAATATTAATTTTGTAAACTAATTATTTTTAATTTATTATTATTATTATTATTATTATTAAATCTAATTATTTATTATTATGATATATAATATTATAAATTTAAAATTATTTTTAATAAAAAATTCAACATTCACGCGAAGCAGGGCACCAGTCTAGTTAAAGATATGTAACCTGGCCTTCGTTTCAGTAGTATGATAATGGTGATGACTGATGAGAATGTCTTATAGGCAATCACTCGTTTCGCAAAGAGGCTGGGGTTAGATGATTAAAGAAACCGCCGCCCGGGCATGAGAAAACACGTTTAATGTTGCAAGCCCCCCAGATTTGCCCGCCGTCACTATTTTGTACCGTTATTTTAAAAAAAAACCAAAATCATTTCGCAGCAGGCAGACTAATTTACCATTCTATCCTTCCCAAAATGACCAAATTCCCAGCCATATGGACCGCCTCTAATAAATGCAAGAGGAATAAAAACCTCTAAAATCTAAAATTACCTACCTACCCCTTTTGCATCACGAATCCCAGCTCCAGTCAACCGGTCAACCTGTTTCCGTCTCACCTACCCCAAATCCCCAAACTACCCCTCTGCACACATTTTCATTTCTGTTTATCCTCTTTCTCAAAAGCCACGCAGTTTCTTTCTGTCCTTTGTTGCGAGTCTTCTCCTGTGTGTGGTTTCAGTTTCCCAGGGGAAAAAAAAGAAGGAAAAAGAAAAGGGATAAAACCTGAAAAACAAAAAAATAAAAAAGTCGTTATCAAAATCCTTTAAAGCTCTTTTCTAGCTTTGATGATCTGATTGATCGAACTCGTCGATAAGCATGGAACGAATCGTCGGTGGCAAATATAAGCTCGGCCGTAAGATCGGCAGTGGATCTTTCGGTGAAATTTTTCTTGGTTCGTCTCTTCCTCTTCTTCTGTTTTCTTTTAACTATCGTTTTCATTTTTTTTTCTTATGTATATATGAAGTGATTTATAACGATTTTGATTTCGTTTCGGCAGCTACGCATATTGATACGTTCGAGATCGTCGCTGTTAAGATGGTAACTGTCTTCTGATGCTTTGTAGATTCATGATCTGATTATCGTTTAAGCTTTTTGGTGTAGAAATAATAGCTAGAACTGAAAATCGTTTTTTTAATAAAGATTGTATTGTTATTTATTTAATTTTGGCGGTTACAGGAGAACAATAAAACGAAGCATCCGCAACTGCTTTACGAAGCAAAATTGTACAATATTCTTCAAGGAGGAAGTAAGTACCGTAGTGCTTCAGTTTATTTATTTATTTTATGAAGATTTTAGAAATTAGAATAAATGAAATAATGAGTTATTTTTGATGATTTTAATTGATGTATAGGTGGAATTCCAAGCATAAAATGGTCTGGTGTTAATGGGGAAGATAATGTACTTGTTCTTGATTTACTCGGACCTAGTCTCGAGGATCTTTTTGTGTACTGTGGCAGGAAGTTTTCGCTGAAAACTGTCTTAATGTTGGCTGATCAAATGGTGAGCTTAAATTGGTGACATTTTGTATTCAATTGTTGCATGAATGATTACTTGTTTTAATCTTAAATTGCTGGATTTTCCATTTTAGATTACAAGAATTGAATATGTTCACGCCAAGGGATTTCTTCATAGAGACATAAAGCCTGATAACTTCCTAATGGGACTTGGTCGCAAAGCAAATCAGGTTTATATAATTGATTTTGGCCTTGCCAAAAGATACCGAGACTCCACAACTAATCGCCATATTCCTTACAGGTAGTTTTTGGGTTTAGTTGGTATTTATTACTCCTCGCCTTAATGCTTTTCTGATTTGCTAGATATAAACCACTTCTGCAGCATTTAAGTCAGTCTTGATTGCTGTTACTGAAATAATTAACTTTTGCCTCTAACAGAGAAAACAAAAATTTAACGGGGACTGCTCGTTATGCAAGTTGCAATACTCATCTTGGAATAGGTAAGGAAAGAGGTTTTCTTTTTGGTCATTCATTGAGATGAAGCACTTAATTCATTTACTTGGATATTTATATCATTATGTTTTTGTTGTAGAGCAAAGTCGGCGGGATGATTTGGAGTCACTTGGCTATGTGCTTTTATATTTTCTCAGAGGAAGGTAGCCAACCTGTTTTCACTGATTTTTATTGCAAATAAGCTTCTTGCATTTGGCTATTTTGGTATTTATTTGTGTGTATTTTGCTGACTAAAATGTTTCTGCATATAGTCTTCCATGGCAAGGTTTGAAAGCTGCCACAAAGAAGCAGAAATATGATAAAATATGTGAGAAGAAGTTGTCCACTCCTATTGAGGTGTGTCTGCATTATATGTATCTTTCAGTTCTACATTGTGGTTCCAGTATGATTTGATTAACATGGCTGCTGTTTTCTCTGACTGTTGTTATCAAGGTTCTATGCAAGTCTCATCCTGTGGAGTTTGCATCATACTTTCATTATTGCCATTCATTGACATTTGATCAACGTCCTGATTATGGGTTCCTGAAGCGTTTGTTCCGTGATTTATTTGCTCGTGAAGGTATTGTAGGATGCATTTTGCCTTTCAATTCTGTAAAAACCCCTTAACATATCTTTGCTTGAAATTGTTGCATGCCTGTGTCTATTGGTGGTTGTAATTTTTCTACAGTTGGATGTGCTATACTCTTATGCCTTCTTCTATGTTCAGTAAGGCTCTTGTTTCAAAGCATGAGGCTTATGAATGCTATTGAACAAGCTGATCATGAGCTAGAGTGATGTCCTTTGGCATAGTTGGTTAGATTATGCTATTGAAGGGGGAAGAAAAGGCCTACTGCCAGCTGGCTTGATGGATGTCACAGATGTAGATGAATAATTTTATACATAATCTGCTGCAAACTAAATTTTGGTTCTTTATCGTGGCAGGTTATGAGTTTGACTACATATTTGACTGGACAATCATCAAGTATCAGCAGGCCCAGAAAACTAGATCTCAGCCTCGATTGTCTGTCAGTTTCTCTAACTTGTACCAAAATTTGTTATTGCATTTAGATTGTATATGGTATCCAGTATTTTAAATCGTAGAACCTTCTTAGTAATTTGGTAGTTGTATCCTTTAAATGAACATTGTCATTTTGACATGATTATATTTCCCAAATTACAGCCAGTTACTGGAGGTAGCAGCAGTCATCCATTACCTGTGGATGTGGATCATCATCAAGGTTAGCTCTTGCTGCTGTGCTTTCTTCTCAAATGACTGAATGGTGTCTTGAGGAATTTATCTATTGGATACAAGAATTATAGAAGACCTGCAATAAGTCAAAAGCAGAGATCTAATATTTGTGTCAGATTATGGTGTCCTTAGTAGCTAAGTTATGCCTTGAGATTTGGATGTCGCATCAAGGGTGGAAGAGCTTTAATCTTGATGTCACTTTTTCTTCTTTTTCTTTTTTTGGGTTAGCGAACATTATTAGTTTATTTTCCCTTCTGAAAAATCTTTCAACAGTATGAGTTTAATTTCCCATCTGAGAGAAACTTTTATATAAAAAAAATGATTTTCTGAAATTTTCTTTACATATGTTACATCTTGAATGGTAAAATGTATACCATAAAATTAGGCAATATTTATCCTCTCTTGTTGGGGATATTTTAGCAATAGCATTATGAGAATCCATAAAATTGCCTCTTGAATGGTAAAATGTATACCATGAGTCAATGGGGCTAGTCTAAGGTAATGCCTAAGGTAACACTTTTGCTGTCCTTCTTACTGGGACTGGCACTGGATTTTATATATCCATAAGAATAAGATTACATAGGTAAAAAGGATAATTTAAAGAACAATATAGTGCACTTGCAACTGGAGTCTATGTCAATTGTAGATTACTGAAGTTAGGTAACTATTTTGTTCAACCTGAATTTCCTCATTGAAAACTGGTTTCTAAAGTTTTCACATCCCGCCTCCAATGATTTCACCTTTTTTTTTCTTTTGGTGGGGTGGATGGGTAGAGGCTTGAGTAGACACGGATGCCTGGTTGCTTTCTGTAACGGGCGACTGGAATGATTATTCATATGCTTTTGAAGCACATATCTGTTAATTTATGAAATCGACAGATAATACAAATCATATATGTAGGAATATTTATGTTAGCTATTTTGTTGTATCGTATAAAAAGCAAGGAGATAAGGCTGAGATGTAAAACCATTTTATGATCATTATCTTTAGAGAGATTTCAAATTCTATTATTCTTGATGTTAGTTTTATTTGGAAATGACATTAAGATTTGGTTGTTATTTGATTGCCAGCAGGCTTCAATGCCCCTTATTCGACTGACGTCACAGAGCGCATTAGATCAAGTAATGTTTCTGGTCCAGGTGTTCGCATGCAATTTAAATCAGCAACAGGGAAGAACTTGATTTCTGATGCTACAGTTGACAAAAATGTAAGTTTGTTGATCATGTTTCAAACTAAGGAGGAAAATTTATGCTAACTATTCTTGTTTGCTTTTAATAGCACTTATGCATGTGTAGATATTTATGGAAACAGTTCTATATACTTGATTTGTCTTCATTTGTTTTTCTTGCATTAATATTTTGGAATGCGCTGTAGCATCCTTGCATTATTAATTTTCATGTCTATTTTGGCAGATTTTTGACTCTCATACACCCTCATCGTCGTTTGCACCTGCTGGCACCTCAAAAAGAAATGGTCAGAAATTGCCCACTGAAGCTGCCAATTCTGGCCACGGAAATGGAAACAAAATTGGACCTTCCAGTAGTTGGATTTCATCATTGCAGCGCATTTCGTCTGCCAAATGATGAAAATGGTAATTTATGAGCTCATAGATCAGTTTATATTAATTTGGATTCTATCCAAATGCAATTAATGCCCGTTTTCTTGTATCATTGTCCATATATTCTGCAATATACCTTTAGCTATGATTCTGGTCAAGGAGACTCTAGTGATGCATCTTCTGAGTCAGTGGGTTTTGGTGATTTCATGTTATGCATTCTCGCCTTGTGGCTGGTTGAGAGCTCCTAGTGATGCATTTATGGAGGCCTGCAAATTTGCTGCTGATATGAAGATTTGTATTAGTTAGCCTAGAATGGCAGTTTCCCATAGTACAAACATATTGGTTGTTACGAAATACGGATACCTGAAGCTTGTTTGATTCCTGAGCTGTACATAGCTGTCATAAATGATCCACAGCAATCTTTATGTTTATGGTTTTATGTGAACATGAATTACATGTGATGAAATATATTGCTACCCAGAAAATAATTAAATTTCATCTTGACATAAGATTGGCAAAAGTAATCTTTAATTTGCCTAGTTTACGATTTTATCAGCTACCTTTAAGGGACTCATTGAGTCATGGAATTTTTTGTCTTCAATGTTTTCTTCCTGCTTCATTCTTTTTCTTCTTAGAAGCCTTTGCGATATATATTTGTTTCCATGCATAACTTCAATATCCTCATGTTGGACTTGAGAAGACAAATATTCTCTAGGCCATCGTAAATTAGAACAATGAGAAGTTAGTTGTTCTGTCCTTTCAAAATGTATGGTATGAAAATTTTTCTAGCATATTGTTGGCCATGAAACTAATTTTAAATAAGCCTCTCAATTATAAGTTAATACTTTCTAATTTGCAGGATGCATTTCTGCCTACAGTACTGTTGGAAAGGTGGAATAGGGAATTACAATTCAGGAATGCATACGAAGACCATAAAACATATATCTCTCTACATGCTAACCATGGAAGATCTAGTAATGGCTGCTAACTACTGACTGGTGAACAGTGAAGAAACCATTTGTGGTTGGTATCTTGTCTTGTATCCTGAATTCTGCAAATATCAACAGTGTACATGCAGTAAAGCTCAGTTGTACATTTGATTTCAAGTTGATTTTTGGAATTGATTGGTCTACTTCAAGGAGCACATTACCTCAGACTGGAATGTTGACAGGCAGTGTGCCAACAATGTGTAACTAGTAACTACCCAGCTTGTCTTGTTATGTAAAAATTCTGATAGAAGCTGTTCAGGATAATTAGAGAAGATAGAAAGTCGACTACTGTTTGCATTTGCTGTGGCTACTTGGGTACTGGAGATCTGAAGAACTCTGTGGGGCAAAGCTGGACTTTGAGATCATTTTATGTCGCGTTTGAAGTTTGGACCAGGTGGGGGATAAACCATTTCCTCTCATCAGTTGTTGGTCTAGGAATAGTCTTGCTTTTATTGGTCTGTTGACACTTGTGTTAGTCAGGGCCCAACATTTTGTGCATCTGAAACCAGATGACAGTAGCATTGCTTCAAGCTGCTTCAGGTATGTACAGCTCCTGACATCCACTTCTGAGAATTATTCTATTCCAGAAAGTGGTGCAATTTATGCCATTAGTGGAGTTTGTGAAATCTTAAGTTGGATGATCAGGAATAAGCTGTTCCTTGCCCAAATAACTGGGGGCTCCTTAGGATATATTTTTGGTCTTCCTTGAAGAGCAAAGAGGAGTGAGGGGAGGATGTCAGACCTGAAGGAGTAGGGTTGGTTCAGGAAAAGATCTCGGAAACTAGTTGGAAGGCGGTTAGTCCTCCCGAAGTGGTATTGGCATGATTATTGATAAGGGGGGACATGCAAGCGTTGTGTTATGGATCTTCTGCCTGGAACATCGGTAACCAAGTTATTGGCTATCAAATGTGAAATGGGTTTATTAGTGCAATCTTTTCGTGTGGTCTTTTCCTTTGTTCTTTTTGGGTGTTTCTTCGCTTCTGGACGTCCCAGGTTTTACTTGGCCGTTAAAAGCTAGGAAGCTGGGCACCGTCAACATGTAATAATGTAAGTGTAAGAAATGTTTCAGTATGTGTGCGTATAGGGTTTTAATTATGTTATTCTTACGAAAGTTTTTAATTGTAATTTGTACCTCTTTTTATTGTGTTCATTTCATTTTTGAATTGTTTTGGAAAATCAGCTTGCAATTGGATAGGAAAGCAAGACAAATAAAGATTCCAGGGTGAGCTCTACATGCATAATTTAAGTTACAGCTAAAATATGTACTTCATGCGTTAGTTGTGCGTGACATATTCAGGGAAGAGAATACATCTGAGAATTGTGATATCGTTTTCGTTCTTGTTCAATCAACCTAAAGGGCTACGTTTATGCAGTCATTGACAAAACGTGTCATCCTGCGCTAGCCTTGGGCACATGGTCTGAAGCCAAGATTTTTCTAGTAACCAATTGAATTAAGTAATTTTGTTGTTTATAGTCTGAAACCAAGATTGTTCCTACGGTTTTACAAGAATACTAACTTTATTTTTTGGTTATAATATGGGTATCATCACCTTTCGAACTAAGCGTGAGAGCCGATTTAATGAGCAAATCGGAAACAGGGAAAAGATAAATCATTTGGAAGAGATCTCAATCCATTTCTTTGAGAATTTGAACCATTAAAAAGACAATTACCATCTAATGGGATTAGCTTACCAGAAGTAGCTAATATCCATTCCTCACCTCCAGGCCTTTCAAAACAGTCACGACTTTGCCCAGCACAAACCCAGGTTCCATGCTGTCAGCGCCAACTATTCCTGCCAATAGTTTTGAGTTTCTTCCTGGTTTCCTGGTCGTGAAACAAGTTATTCAAGCATCCTTCATCGTCTGAAACATCAGGACGAAAACAAGCCAATGACTGAGCGTCAGAGAAATCTTCGAGCCCGAATGAGTCATCACTCGCTTTTTCCAGAATCAAAGACTTTCTTCTCTTCTTAGCTCTAGAATTTGCAAGAGCATCAGTAGCCACACGCTTCGAGTTGCCGAAATGGTCTTCCCGTCTGGAGCAGAAGGCTGTAATGAAATGGTTGGAACAATCAAAGATTACATATTGCTTCCTTTCACGAGGACACGACTTTGTATCATCTGAGTGTTCTCTTGCAGCCATCTGTTTCTCTACTCCCTACTGATTTGGAAAACACGAAGAAGATGGTTCTCTCATATATAATAAAGTAAACTTTTGCACGAATGTCTTTGAATTTGCCATAAAGAAAGAACGTTACAAAGTCAGGCAGGATAGCAGATAAGTAGTAAACTCTGAAACTGAAAAGTTGAAGAAATTATGATAATATTGAATTGAATGGAGCTAAATTTCGGGGTTTAATGGGAAATACGGTTGGCATCATTAAGATTTTAGCATTAAGACCGAAACCACCTGACTAAGAGGGATTTAAATCAAGAACCAACTGCCTATCTAAGTAGTCAAGACTACTGGGATTTGTTGGAAAACTACAATCAAAATAGAATATTAAATTGAGTAGTAATAGTTTTAAAGTAAATGGGGAATATTTAACCATACACACTGAATTTAGCACCCAAAGGAATGTTTCAATTATGAGAGTATTCATTCGTTGTTTGGAATCCAAAATTCAAAGCACAGAACTTGATGATGACAACAAATCCAAGCAAAATTTGAAGAAAAGGAAATCTGCAGTCTGCAGAAAAACAAACTTCCCTGCTGAATAATTTGATTCATCCAAATAATGAGTATACTCTTTTTAATTGCCTAATAAAAGTATACAAGTGGTAAACTTGTAGGCGTTACATTCTTGCTGAATGTCATTAATATTGTCTGATTCAATGCAGGGACATGCTTGGACACGAGTTTCCTACCACTTTAGACATAGATTAACACTAATCAAAGTTAAAGTAAGATATGCATTAGATTTCAATGAAAGCAAAATTCAAAATTGTTCTTTAAACTTGTGGTTATTACACAATATTACAAAAAAGTTACAGAACTTCAGTGGCAACTGCCTCATTGTCTTTGTCCTTTTAAGTCATTTGTAGAATGCAAAAATTGGTCTATCGAAACCAGTTCTGGTGTCCGACAACCCTGATGTGACATCTTCTACCATTCTGAATCCAATCTGCAAATGAGATACACATTGCAAAGCAATAATGATTGACAGGAGCCTACAAAGTTGAATTTTCCATCCAACCTGAAACCTCAACATCATTAGCAAAGATGCAACACTTACCTTATCCAGAAGAATTTCCTGAAAACTCTCTGGTCGGAACATTATACTGCGATAATTACTTGCTGTTGTCTGCAAAATATTGTGGAAAGGTTTTTAAAAGATCTAGTCAAGAAATGAATTTAATTAAACACTGATCAAAAGTGTAAATTTTATGTTGAACGTGTGACAATATTTAGTCTTAGATAATCACAGAATGCTCTTGTAAACAGAAACAAAGAACAGAGAACAAACTAGAACAGTGGTGAACATATCAGAGCAAGTCAACAGTGCACTCATCATACTCAAAGTTATCACCCTATAATTGTTCACATTAATTAAAGAAGAAAGAAGACCTATACCTCGGAGACTCTACGGTTCTTTTCATATGATTCCCAAGGTTGAGGTTCCAACACAAAAACGCCACCCTGCTCATGATCATAAGCAGTTCAGATGGTACTGTATATGCATTCTTCAATGTGTGTGCATAAGTGGAAAGAAAATTGATACTCATTGATGAAAAAAATTTCTCCCTGACGAGGCTGTGTGATAATTACCGGATGAAGAAGCCTCCAAATCTTTGTAAATAAAGAAATCAATCCATCATCACCCCAGTTCAGGTGAATCCACTTTGTCACGCTCAAACTGTGTTGCAGAAGAATTCATTTGAAAACAAAACCAGCACATCTATAAATATTATTTTCGGGAAGTCCTTCATAATTAACTCCCCCCCCCCCC